AATTTCCCAAATTTAGGAACTTTACTAGCTCCAACTTTGTCAACATTTCTACCATCAAGATACAAAGGTAGCTGCTTTTCAAGAACATGGTTCTCATTCTTCTCCCATGAACTTTCAAGATTCTGTTTCCCATCATTATAAAACCTAATAAAATCCTCAAAAATATCAACAAAAAAAAACTAGAGATCAAAAAATACAGAAAAAAATACACTTGAAAATTTACCTAACCGTCTTGGCTTTCTTGAACTCCATCAGAACCTTTACAGACAAAAATACCTACAAATCTTCAATACACAATGCAGAAGCCAAGAAAATACCGAAATGGTAAAAAAAAATTGAATCTTTACCCTTTTCAAGAAGTTCCATTTCAAGTATATGCTTATAACTTATAAAATAAAAATGTAAACTTTGCTCAAAAATACTCACATAGTTGAAAAATTCAAGAATTTTCTCAAATGGGGTTTGAAAGTAACCATAAAAATGAAGAAAGAGGAGTTGAAGTGGGCAGAAACAACTCTGGTTTTCTGTGTATATTTAATTTAAAGGGGTTGACTTTACTTGGAAGATCACAAAAAGACAAAGAGTAGATTAAAGAAAAATAGATAAAAACAGCTCAGATATAACTAAAATATATATATATATTGATACTGCAAATTGGATATGGAAGTTCAAGTGAATACAGTCGTGCAGGCCATAATAGACGGCAGTTTTTCTTTTTAATTTATTTTTAGAGAAGAAAAAACAGTCTAATTGAGATTAGGCAAGTAAAAATGGACGAAAAGAATATTTTTATATTTTTCGAAGAAAAAGTACTTATTTTGTTCAACATTAGTTATTTATTATTATCTTGACATATTATAAGGGTAATATTTTGAATATATAAATTTTAAACGTTTTGAGAAATGTCTAATATATTTAATACGGTTAAAAAATCAACAAAATAAATAAAAAAGTGTAAATAATCTCTTCATTTTCAAACTGAATAAGTATTGGTAGATAATTATTTTTAATATAATGAACAAGTAAAGATAGATAAAGTTTTTCCATTTTAAAAAGAATAATTTCTTTCCTTTTTAGTTTATTTCAAAAAGAATAACATTTTTTTTTTAACAATTTTTTACGTGGCATGTTTAAGGTCACAAGATTAAAGAGCAACTTTGTACATTTTACATAACTTTAACTTAAGATCACATGATCAAAAGTTTTCTTTGTTTTCTTAAACTTCGTATTAAATCAAACCAGATTATTCTTTATGAAAAGAAATAATAAATACTCGATTTCTCTCATATTATTGGATCATTTTTCTAAAAATATTTATCCCAAATTATTTGATCACTTACTAAATTATGATAAAATGAATTAATTTTTTTCTATTTTACCCTTATAATTAATATCATCATCATGTTTAATGTTTCCATGATTTCTCTTCCAAAACTTTTGAACTTTCCAAAGAGTTCATTATATACTTACTTATTCATTTGTACTCTTGCTCTCACTCATTTTAAAGTATGTATACCTTTTTTATGCCCATAAATTATTTTGAATTCATTAATATTAATAAATGATAAATTAATAAATTAATTATTTTATTTATAGTTTCTTATAAATCTTATAAAATAAAAAAATCAGTTATTATGAAATGAGAATAATATCTTCAGCTGAAAAAATTTAATAATTAGGAAATCAAGAGTTGCATAAAATTATATTAGAGAATTTTTGGGACAGATGAAATGGACACTAATATCAAGAAATGCATTTACTAAATGCATCAAATACTCCACCTAGGTGGCATAAACAACTTGCTAAAAAGTATTGTTGGTAATTATTTAATATTATTTTCGTATATTTTTAATTTTCATAATTTTCTTTTTAAGAATTAAATTATAAAATTTTGATCAAAATTTTATGATGTGATTTTTCATTATATCGATATAAAAAAAAATTATAATTTATAATATTTTTCATATAATTTTTTAAATATCAAAATTATTTTTAATTTAAAATATAAATTAATATAATCTACATTAACTTTAAAAATTAATCAAATAAACATAAAATAAAATAAACGGAGAAACTACGAGGCATCAACTGGTTAAAGAAGAGAGAGGGTTGAATGAACAAACTTGTAGTACTGCTATCTTATCAATAATATTCATCCATTATTAATTTCACACACTTACTAAAAATTATAAATAAAAATATAATTTTATTATTTTCTCTGTTTAATTTTACTTGTCAACCATTGAGTTCGTGTTACTATTAAAAAAATAATTAATAATATAAACTTTTTTACTAAATTGTCCTCCATGAAATAATGTCTTAAAAAATAAGTAAGTATTTAATATTGAGGGTAAAACATGAAAATAAAATTTATATATCAAAAGTAACAAGTAAAGATAAAAATTTTAAAATAAGTGACTAGCAAAAGTAATATAATCTCTTGAAAAATGTAATAGGAAAATGACGATAATTAATGATAAGGTTAGATTAGGAACTAAGGATAAATAGTTTTAGACATTCCAAAATAGTATAGTAAGCAATTATTGTTTAGACGGAGTAAGTAGTACTTATTTATATGATAAGATTCTATATAAATCTTTTGAGTCTATAATATTCTATGTAAATTAGAGGTGTGCAAAAATTGAATGATCGATAAATCGAATCGAAAAAAATGTTATTGTGTTATTATTATTGAATTTCTAATAAGTTTATAAAAAAATTATTGAATTAGTGGTCCGGTATCAATTTTACTATTACCGATAACTCAATAAGACGATTATTTTACTCTTCCTAATTATTAAATATTAATAATTTAATATATGATTAGATACTATAAATATATCAAATTATTAGTACTTTATCAACTTCACACTAGGTCGTTTTGCTAGTTTTTACTGTTAATCAAAACCTAAAGATTTAAGTAAGGGGTTCATATTTATAGCTATTTGATTTTAATTTTAGTTTTAGTTTTAATGGACTATTTTATTTTAGTTTTAGTCTGTAATTGTAGGTTATAGCATTTGCAAGTTTGTGAAGATTCGTAATTTTGTTAACGTATAAAATTTCATGCTATGTTTTGGTGGTAACATAACATCTATTATAGCCTTCACACTATATTTCTCTTGTTGATGCAATTTCTTATTTTCTTTCTTGTTTCACTATATCAAAACATTTAGAGAAGTGAGAAGGCATATACTATCTTACGGACACTTTCTTATCGGATAAATCAAAAATTGAATCGATAATAATCAAAAACAAATAAATCAAAAATCGCTAAATAATATCTTATTGATTTGTTACTGGAATAACATATTTAAAAATCAAAAATTGATAAACCAAACCGATAATACATAAAATCGAACAGAACCGACTGATGCACACCCCTCCTCAAAAAGTTGTCACGTTTCATCAATAGTAATTTTTTCTAACTCTAATACTCCATACCCACCACTCACCATACCCGCCTCTACCAGTGGCAACCACCCTCCACCTACGACCCATGTTATCTCACCCACCCAACCACGTCACTTCCCACCCCCTCTTCCTCACCACGGACCTCAATCCACGCTCCCTCAATTCTTCTTTTCACGAAATTGAAACTAAAGAATCTTTTTTCAAGGTTAATCATCACACAATTCACCAATCACTCTATCTTCTCGTTTCTGTTTAAAACTTATCTTTTCTTTTTGAGCGACTAATTTAAAATAGGCTTAAAGTACACAACTTATCTTTTTTTTTCTCCGTTTCATAATAATATTTAATTAAATTATATATGAAAAACTTTGAGATAAAAAGTTTTTTTATTACTCAAATTATGTGTTGTGTATGAGGATAAACAAAAAAGTATAAATATATTATTTAAAATTCTATAGTCTTGAATATAAATAATATAATTAGCTCGTGAAAGTATGATTAATTCATTTATTTAAGTTTGAAAATATATAATGACTTGGTTATTTAGTTATACAATCCATTTCAATTTAGTTTAATTGAAAGTTGAAATCGATTTGAGTTAAGTTATATAACCAAACTAACCTATTATTTTTCGTTAAAATATTTAACTAACAAAAAATCAGTTATCGTGACTCATTTGTTGGTTTAACTCATTTTATTTTACTTAAATTCCGTATGAATAACTCATTTATCACCTCAATCATAAATATGTCATACATATATTAAAATTAATTATTATTTTTTTATAAAATATATTAAAACAGATGATGTAATCACAGGTCCCACTGAGAATAAGCCCAAAATCAACTTTTGTGGTTTTCATGTGTCAAAACTCAAAATGAGTATATTCATATGTCGGTAGAGTCCCTTTTTCTGTGTAAACATAAAGACAATAGCTTGTGTTAGGTGTGACAAAATAATGCAATGTTATAATATAATAAAATATAAATGGCAAAAGAATTGCCAAATGTCCTCATTAGATGCTCATATGGAAACATTCAAATTTTGTGAGACTCTACAAAATTCATTAAATTTGAGTTAAGTCTATATGTGTTAAATTTTAATTAGAATTTTTGGAGATTGTTCAATTCTAAACTCTTTATATTTTAGGCTATTAAATTTCTTTAAAAGACATATCAAATCAAGAGATTAAATCAAAATCTTCCTAATTCAAAAAATATGATTTTCAAATCACGAATAAATAATTTATGAGAAAAGAATTAAGAGAGGAGCATAATTATATTTGTACCCGCGCTATTTGCTATTTATCAATAAAGTTATTTTTTTATATTTTATTTGTGATTACAATTTTATTTTCTATCGCTTCAAAATTGGCAAACAACACATTCAAAATGATTTGCAATTTTTTTTTATAATAATAAAAAAAACATTTACATATTTTGATTAAAACCTATCACGTGTTTGATGATGTGGCGAAACATATTTTGTCCTAATTAAGATGATCCCACTTTTCACTAACAACCACTAATTCCCCTCGCTACCTCTCTTTCTCCGGCCAACTCCGGTTAGGTTTGGGTAAATTGGAGATGGACGTTATAATTAAAAAGTATCAGCAGAGATTCAGGAAAGTGAAGGAAGAGATGGAGAAGTGGAATGAGCTACAATCTCGATTACTATCTCAATTCAACAATGCTTCTTCCATCATTCAGAGGTTACAGATTCTTCAGGATTCTAAGAACTATGGTGCTTTGACATGTGTTGAAGCCATTCAGGAAGCTGTCTTGCTGAAACAGATGAATTCTCTACAAAATATCTTGCTTTCAATGAATGAAACTATGGAAAAGTTTCATGTGGTTGTGTTGTCGCTTGATAAGATGGTTCGTGATGGTAGACAGCTCATAAAAGGGGGATCCGTTCAGAAGAATGTGAAACAGCTACAGCAACACGTCGGGATGAAGCCTAGCATTGCTGATTGCTTGGATGGGCTACAACTTCTTTATGAGATGCACCAATCAGAGTACCGTCTGAAATTGTCGGTCATATCAGCAATTTCAGCATTTGCTTTACAGCCTAGTGCAACTGATGATTTAGCTGCACTTCAGCAACTGTTGGATGATCAGCCTAACATCCCCAAAGAGGAAGTTCAAGTCATTTTTGAAATCATATTTGCTGAAGAGATAGCTTGATGTCTACTAAGCATGGATCCTTGGACTGATGAAGTGCTTTTGGAACTTGCAATGTGTTTTAAGTTAAGGAAGACTTCAGTTCTGGCTAAAGAGCAGGAAATATCTTGCACTTGGGTGCTAGAGTGTTCGAACTCTTCAAGTGTATGTGTCAGATTTTCCAAAAACCAGTGTATTTTTAGAGGATCCGCCATGGGTGTGGCGACATTTTTGGAGAATCCAAGCAACACCGCTTTGGTGAAGCAGAGAATTATCTTGATTGATCACTGTAGATGGAAGGTTTTGGACCTTGGAAATGGAAGAGATGACTTTAAGTGTTGTGTATACTCAGTTTCATTTATTTATATGTCTGCAACTTTGTATAAACAACCTTTTGTTTTATTTTTCCTTGGTCAGTAGCATGGTTTTGATTAAACAGCTAAATCCAATAATACAATTTTAACAAAAAAAAAAAAAAAAATTATAATCAATCATGTTATACAATTTAACTCATTAAAGGGAAGGGGGAAAGTTTGAAATATATTTAAATTTTATTTGAAATTATTGTAATAATTTTAAATTTTGAATCATATTTATTATTTTTAAAAATTATTTAATGGTATATTTTAAAAGTATACAAGTGTCAAGTTTGACAAGTTACTATTTATGATGATGTCATATTTATAATATCTACATGGAAATGTATATATCTTTAATTTTAATCAAAGTTCAAATATATTTTGAACTATTTTCTCAACAGAAAATAATCAATAAACTTTGTCGATATTATAATTAGAACAATCTTTTTTTTTTTGGATAATGTCAAATTATTTTCAAATAGAGAAATAGGTAAATATATGATAATTTTGAGACATTAAGTAAAATGTGATGATCAATGATAAGTAAAGATGTAAATTCAATTATATATTTTATAAAGAAATGTTAAGTGATTTACCTTAACAATATCAAGTAAATAAACAATACTATAACTTATTATTTGAGTTACTTCAAAAAAATTTATATCTATAGATGAAAAACAGTATGAAGCTTGATTCATTTATGAGGATTTACGAGTGTCAATAATATTAATAAAAGATTTGATACATAATTTTGTTGTTAGACATATTTAAGATTTATAATAAACATTTAATGACGTAAATAGCACAGTATTAAACCTCATAACATGAATCTCTAAATATTTTTTTGATATTCAACCTCAAGACAAGTCCTAAAACTGTCTTCGAGAATAGTGGTGTTAATATTGATTTTCACAGCTCGATAAAATTCGAATTAAAATGCACGTGCGATATGATCCAAAATTGGAGCGTAAAATCCGCCTGATAATGTTGTAGGCACGTGCGAGGAAAACATAATATCCGCTAATCTCTTATAAAATTTGGAATAATAGAAAATACATATAAGATAAATATACAAAATGAACATAAATAATTTGAGTAGATAAAAGATAACCAAAATAAAAAGAAATACTATGTAGTTTTTATATAAGAGTATATTTGTTACCATGTGATTTTTGAGAGCGAATTTGATTATTTATTGAAGCTAACTGAATTAAGTTAATTCAATATTTTAAATGAGGAGTTAGCTATTTAAAACGGTGAGAAAAATACTATAAATTATATTTTTTTTCATAAATATGATTTTCTAAAAAAAATTATCTTAAAATATTGACAAAAAATTATACTCGAAAACAAAACTTGACAAATATTTTAAGACTAGAGTTGTGCATGGGCCCAACATGTCAGGCATAATGTAAAATGTTCTTTAAAATTTGTATAAAACAGAAAAATTTTATATGGTGCTAATTACATACTATTTCGAAAGTCTTCATAATTACAATAATTTTAAAATTTTCATTACTCTCAGATGCATTTCTCGGTTGTGCGATACATTGCAAATGAGACTTTACTTAAGATTTAATTGTGTTGGATTTGTCGAGTACATAGTCTCTACTCTGTTGTGTCAGATACACTCCTCCTCCATTGTCAGATACATTGATCTCTACTCATTATGTCGTGTCAAATACATTTCTCTATTGTTGGATACATTGGTTTCTACTCTTCTGTTGTGTTGGATACATTCCTCAATATGTCAATACATAATTATGAGCATGATTCATAAAGGGAGGGATGTATCCAAGAGGAAATTTTGTAATGAAATGTTATAAAACATGTCATGTACAAAGGAATATGACTACAAAATGAGGATAAAAAAGTAACTGCAGTTTCCGTGACCTCAAGGTTACGAGACTTGTGAGCTATCAAATTGCTCTACCACACGCCATAGATAAGAACTGAAAACTATTAGATAAAAAGAAGGGAAAAGGGTCTTATATACTCCTCAACTTTGTCATTTAGAGCTGATATACCCCTCATTATAAAAGTGGCTCATATATGCTCTTACCGTTATACAAACGGCTCACATATACCCCTGCCGTTACAAAATGGCTCACATATACTTCTAATTTTTTTTTGAAAAATTAGTTTTAAATTTATATTTGTTACTTCTAATTTTTTTAAAAAAAATTATTTAGGGGTATATATGATTCTTTTATCAAAGTTCAAGGTATATTTTAATTTTTTTCATACATAAATTATTTTTTGACTTCTTTTATTATAATTATTTGATTTTCTTATTCTTATTTTGTTTTTTCATTCATTCCTTAGTTTAAAGAAAAAAAATTAAACTATTTTTTTTGTGTGTATTGTAATTTAATTTCGTATTCGAAGAAAAAATTTGGTCATCTATGATAAGTTTTACAAGAATATTAGTGAAACATAAATAAATTTGATTATCAAAATAATAATTATAAATTAGTCATTAAAACAAAAAAAAGTCAAAAAAAAATATGTTTGACAAGGGCTACTATATGTAAAAATAAAAAAACTCATTTATACAGAATGATAAAAGGGCTACTATGATCATCAACAATAGAAATAGAACTAAAGTGTTAATTCTTACTTGCTCAATCTTGTTGTTCCTGGCAAACCATTTCACGAAGTATACACAATTAACTACAGATGATGAGGTGATTTGTTTAGTGTAGTGGCAGAGGAATACACTTTTCTGGCTTATGCAATTATTCAAAGAAAATAAACTATTCCAACAGTTAGCATGAGTAAACAATTCCAAATTCTAACAAAGATTCTTACTTAACATGTAAATGTGTAAGAATCGCTATCGATACGATGTGGGGCTGATTTGCTGACCGTAACGAACTTGACTTTGCCCCCAAAAGGGCGGGAAGACCTTTGAACTGGGCTGGGGAGGGATTGGGGTCGCTTTTCTTTAGGACTTTAGTCCGTAACAAGGCTCGAAAACCTCTGGCTAGACTTGAAATGGATCAGGTAGGGCATCCGTTTACGACGTGGGTGGAATTAACAGTTTTCTCTATTTTCTTCAATGGTAGGAAATAGGCATCAGCGGGGGTAAATGGGAGGAAACCAATCTGCAGTAATTCAAATTGCTCCTTCAAATCACTAAGTAAAATCTTGACTCACACATACCGCAGTGTATTGTTGTCAACTCACATAGTCGCACCTACCAGCAACAAGACGAATACTCCTTGCACGCCACTAAACGACGCTATTTAACGCTTCGCTTCGCCCAATACAAGAACTACAACTCAACCTAGCTTAAGGCTAAAGTCGTGGACTACATCCCCGTGAGAGCCCTCTATTTGACTAACATACTTCCCTTTGATCTCCCCCATACCTTCATATCAAAGTTGGAAATGATTGACCCACTCAATATCCGAGAGAGGGTAGGTTTAACACCCATCTTTATGGTTGTCCATCTGGACTTCTTAATTTTCTTCATGTGGTACCTGCAATCGAAAAATGATGATATACATTATACAAATAAAAAATAGGATAATATTGATTAGAAAATCATTTAAAACGAATAAGAAGTAGGGTAATATTAACTTAGAAAATCGTTTAATTTTTCTAGTTATCTTCAATATGAATTCATACAAACAAATTTTAGATGCAAGAAAAAGGTTTAGGAAATTTATTTCTTTCTTTATTCTGCCTTTTTATATCATAAGAGGCGTTTGAACAAACAAACAAATTTCTATACATAATTTATAAAGAAACATGAAAAAAGACAGAGAACAATTATGCACCATCCATAAAAAAAAATACTAAAAGAAAGACTCTTTATTATTAGGGGGAAAAAGACTCAAATCCATATAGATAAAGATGTCTAAATCAGTGATCTTTAAGAAAAACAAGAATAAAGATATTATTTTCAGATAAAATCAGAACTGACTTCCACCATCTCCATCGTTTACAATAGTTGATTGAATTTGGTACACGAGTTATACTCTCTAGTTGTTTGGTAGAGTGTATTTGAAAAATAATTACTTTCTCTGTCGCAATTTATGTGACTTACTTTCATTTTTAGTCAGTTTTTTTTCAAAAAGAGTGACACATTTATATATTACACACAAATTGATATCATTCATTTAATTGGACCACAACTTTTAGAAGTCTTTCTTTCTTTTTTAGATTTTGTGTCAAGTCAAACTAACTCAAATAAAATGGGATAGAGGAAGTATACATTAACTATGTATATTATGAATAGGAGTTAGTTCCCTAAATAGTCACTTAAGTATTGATAATTGCGTTCAAATATTACTTTGTTTTATTTAGGACTCAAATATACTTAACACTTCAAAAATCTCATTCTCTCCTAACTTTAGATTTAATCATATGAATTATCATTGATCATTAGGAAAGTAAAAAATATGTTTTGAATCTTGTAGTGTTAAACTAAAGATATGTAAAAGATACTCAAATGTCACTTAAATCACATGATTTTAAACATTCAATATGCAAAGTTAAAAATTAAAGAGTTAGCCAAAAAAAAATATTCTTTTTTTTCTTTTTTAAAACAGACTAAAAATAATAAATAAGACAAACAAATTGAAATGAAACAACAAAATAATTTTTCTAAAGCAAAACTATAATAAATTCCATTTATTGCTTTAAAACTCGACAAATCAAATTTCGAGACCTAAGATAGATACCTCATTTTCTAACCCTAGAGTCAGCCTTGTAAATAGGTCTTGGAGGCGCTGCAGTCCATCTATGTTCTAATTAACAAAAGTTGAGACTCAATTTCTTCATAGAGATCTGACATATCTGTGTTATTGAAAGTTGAAGAAATTGAAGCATTTGGTTAACTCAGTGACAGATTCAGAAATATTATATTATATGTGCTCAACTATTTTTAGTTTGAAAAATGCTAGATAACGTGGATGTTCAGTTAATATATTTCATTAAGTTATTAGGTTGTTTATCACAAAAAGTTCTCTGATACTGAGTTAACCATAATAATTACGCCTCAATTTGAGACAAAGTTGCGATAGAGAGAAAGATTCATTCAAGGCCATCTATATGATTGGAGACTTGAAGTTGGCTTTGCACGAAATCCATTAAAAACTTTCATGTTTGACAAGTCAAAAGTAATAAATATATTTTATTATACAAATAAGACTTAATTATAATATTAGTTTAAGAAGTCAATAATATATATAAAATTTATCACATGACATGTTCTTTTCGCTCTAAAAATATGAAAAATATTATCTATGACATCCCCTCCCTCCAAGTGTAGAGCTGAAGGAAAATGATTCAAGAAACACCACATAATAAAGAATCTTACCATAAACTCTTGCAGTTATCTACAAAAAGTACACATAATTGAAATGATGATTGAATTTGGCTTAAAATTTTTGTTTTATTTGTGCATTACACAACAAACAATTATGAAAATTAGTAATTAATTAAAGTACAAATTAAACAATAAAGCAAAACAATTATTTAAAGTGCTCGAATCTATGATTTTTTTTGATTCTCATATGCATTTCTCCTAATTTCCTTGTGAAAAAAAACTTTGTGCTTTGATTCGATTGTGAAAATGAATTTTCAATATACCTTTAATGTATCAAAATTTCAACCGAGCTATAGATTTGCGTATAATGACAGGAATTAGTCAGATCGGGTGTTGATGATAGAGATTGTACCTAAATTCAATGGAGCTCAGACCAGAAGGTTGTGGTGTTGATGATTCAGCCTGAAAAGGCAAGCGTAAGAGAGGAGAAATCAAAACAAGAAGAAGTGATTTGTTTTCCTTAATTTTAATTTAGGGTTTAGTTTACATTTAACTTTTTTGATTTTTGGTGTGAGAAAAGAATAAAAAATCATGAAATGTTTGTTTTTTTGAATGCTTGATGATTTGATTTTCTGTTTTCACTTCATTGCAGATGAAAAACCTATCCTTTTTTTCCGTAGATAGATTTTTCATCTGTAATGAAGTGAAAATAGAAAATCAATTCATCAAGCTTTCAAAAAACAAACATTTCATGATTTTTTTTCTTTTCTCACACCAAAAATGAAAAAAAAAATGTAAACTAAACCCTAAATTAAAATTAAGGAAAACAAACCACTTCTTTTTGTTTTTGATTTCTCCTCTCTTACGCTTGCCTTTTCAGGCTGAATCATCAATATTGTAACCTTCTGATCTGAGCTCCATTGAATCCGGTACAATCTCTATCATCAACACCTGATCTGACTAATTCCTGTCATCAAACGCAAATCTATAGCTCGGTTGAGATTTCAATATATTCAAGGTATGTCAAAAATTCATTTTCACAATCAAATCAAAGCACAAAGGTTTTCTCACAGAGAAAATCAGGAGAAATTCAGATGAGAACCGAAGAAAACCATAGGCTGTGAAGAAAAAATTGAAGAACAATGGAAGATTGAAGAAGAATTGCTTGTGTATTTCTCAGTACAACATACATGTATTTAAATACTGCACAACTAATTAAAAGAATTAAAATCATTCTAAATACAAATATATTTGTCTAAATCCTATTGGTTGTCTATGTAACCTCTAAAACAAACTTTTATTCCTTTTTGTGTTTCTCACGTGACCTTGTAGATACTTCTAGGTCTTATAAGATGGATGGTTGGGATTTGATCTCTTACATGTGTGGCTGAGATTAAACATATTCCTTGATAGGTCTTGATGATTGCCACGTACTAATGAGTCAAAATTCAGACCATGTTCCTGTTTCTTCATATCCTTCATCTTATCTGTAATTTCAACATCCCCTCAAGATGGAGGGTAGGGAAACGACACCCATCTTGTTAAGAATTCTATGATGAGCAGGACCAGATCAGCAAGTTGATCCTTGGAGGGAACAAATTGAAGAGAAATGAGCCCGGAAAGATACTGTTGCCAGACAAAATGACAGTCAAGCTTCACGTGTTTCGTTCTCATGAAACACTAGGTTTTTGGCTATATGAATGGCCGCTTGACTATCTGGACGAATAGGGATCGGCAACAAAGGAGGAACAGAGAGATCAGCAAGAAGGCGAGTTAACCAAGTCAGCTCGGCAACTAATCGACACATTGAGCGATACTCAGCTTCCGCGGATGATAAAGAAATGGAAGCTTGTTTTTTTCGACTTCCAGGATATTGGAGAACCTCCCAAACAAATAAAGAACCCACTTATCGACTGACGAGAGTCGGGATAGGACGCCCAATCTGCATCGCAAAAGGCAGAGATGGTGAAAGAATGAGAAGCTATGAAAAAAATGCCTTGATTAGGTGAACCTTTCAGGTAACAAAGAACTCTTAAAGCAACTGTAAAATATTTTTCAGAAGGTTGTTGCATAAATTGATTGAGGCTCAAAATGGCATAGCATAGATCTGGACGTGTGTGTGTCAAATAATTAAGCTTTCCAATGAGGTGCCGATAAATTGTTGGATCTGACATAAGCTTTCCTGAATCTGCAGTTAATTTGCAAGATGGATCCATCGGGGAAGACACGGAGTGCAGATGAGAAATGTCAAACTCCGCAAGAAGATCTAAGATATATTTCCTTTGACTGATTATTATCCCATTTTCATCGCGCAGAATTTCCATTCCTAGGAAATAATGAAGCAAACCAAAATCTTTGATTTTGAACTCAACATGTAAGAAATCTTTGAGACGTTGAATTTCTATCACGTCATTTCCTGTAATGAGAATGTCATCGACATATACAGCAACAATAGAAACCAAATCACCTGTATGTTTAAAAAATAAAGAGTAATCATTCAGTGATGCATTATACCCCTTGAATTGCAAAGCACCAGCAAGTTTGGCATACTACTGCCGGGAAGCTTGCTTGAGACCATATAAGGACTTGCGAAGACGATAAACCATAGTAGAATCAGGTGGAGCCAAACCAGGAGGGAATTTCATGTATACCTCCTCTTGTAAATCTCCTTGCAAAAATGCGTTATTGACATCAAATTGTGATATAGGTCATTGTTTCTTAGCTGCAATCGATAAAAGACACCTGATCGTTGTCATTTTAACCACGGGGGAAAAAGTTCCATTGAAATCAATACCCTCTCGCTGAATGTCTCCTCGAATAACCAATCTGGCTTTTAGGCGCTCAATAGAACCATCTGCACGATGTTTTACCTTGTATACCCACTTGCAAGGCAATGCCTTTCTATTCGAGGGAAGAGGAACAACATCCCACGTGTGATTTGTTTTTAAAGCTGCTATCTCCTCTTGCATAGCCTTTGACCAACCTGGATGAAGAGAAGCTTGATAGTAACTGTTAGGTTCTGTGATTTGATAAACTGACTCCAAGAAGAATTGATTAGATGTTGAAATCTCAGTATGAGATAGACCAGTAGAGGGGATTGGTGCAGCAAAACAAAATTCAGAGACGGGACTAAGAAACATATTGTTGCAAAAATAATCTTGAAGATGAACTGGTTTAATTCCTTTATTTGATCTTTCTGATCTTCTTAAAGGAAGAAAAGTAGTGGGTAAATTAGAATCAGGTATAAAGGATGATTTAAGAGAAGAACAGTTTTGAAGTGGAGATGCAGAAATTGGAGAGTCTGAAGGGAGAGAATCTGGAGAAGAAATGTTAGGAACTGGAACATCACAAGTAGAATCATTGACACTAGAATAGGGAGTAGCAGGATTAGGAAAAAATAGAAGTAGAAATAGGAGAAGTAACAATGAAGGGGAAAATAGTTTCAAAGAAAGAGACATCTCTTGATATGATTATTCTTTGGCTATCCAATTCGAGGACTTTGTATCCCTTTTTATTTGAGGGATATCCAAGGAAAACAAGCCTTAGCTCTTGGTTCAAACTTGCCCCTTCCATGAGAAATAGTGCCAGCATAACATAAGCATCCAATGCACTTTAAACCATCATAATTTGGTGCTTTTCCGTGAAGTATTTGATAAGGTGTGATTCCATGAAATACTCTAGAAGGTAATCTGTTTATTAGGAAAGTTGCAGTAAGAATGTACTCCCCCTAGTAGGCTAAAGGAATCTGAGCTTGAAACAGCAGTGCTCTAGCCATTTCAAGTAAATGTCAATGCTTCCTTCCAACAACTCCATTTTGTTGAGGGGTGGAAACACATGATGTTTCATGGATGATACCTTGTGAATTGAAAAAAATTGATGGTTGCATTACTTTTCCCCAATTCCATTGCATTATCTGATATGATCCTCTTCACTTTATGATTGAATTGTCTTTCTATCATATAAAGAAAATTTTGTAAAACCGAAAAAACATTGCTTTTGGTGCTCAAGAGGTAAGTCCATGTCCCTCTACTAAAATCATCCACTATAGTAAGAAAATATTTATAATTATCATGTGTAACAACTTTGTAGGGTCCCCAAGTATCTATATGAATAAGATCAAATCTTGACTTAGTTGATATATTACTGATTGGGAAAGGTGGTCTGGACTGCTTTGCTTTGGGACAAATGTCACAGAAACAATCAGAATTAGAAGGAATGAAAATGAAACTGATATTCCTCATTGATGAGAAAGGTAAATGGCCCAACCTAATGTGCCATAACTTTACATTAGAAGTAGTACTACTACAATTAGGATTACTGAAACTAGGTAAAGAAACTGAAGAACTAGTAGAAACTGTCGAATGTAAAATAGCTTTGTTCTTGCTAGAATTGAAAACAGACTCTTTCACTTTAGGCTTGAGCAGATATAGACCTTCTGAAACTTTACCAAAAACTTGAGACCTCCTCATTGAAAGGCCCTGCAACACACAATGATTAAGAGTGAAAAATAGTGTGTAAGAAAATTGACTGCAAAACTTATGTACAGACATAAGATTATATTTGAAACTGGGAACATATAAGACATTTTCTAAAACAAGATTAGAAAATAGAGATACAGTTCCAATGTGAGTGACAAGAATAGTTTGACAATTAGGAAGATTAATAGTCAAGGGAGGAGTAAGAGAGGATAATAATTTGAAAAAGGTTGAATCAAAACACATATGCTCAGAAGCACCTGAATCTATGATCCAGGTGCTTGAATTAGTCACAGAAAAGCATGAACCAAGATATTTAACAATCGTACCAGCCACTGCATTAGCATTGATCTCCATCCCTGAGTTGATACCCTCTTCCATCTTCATGTGTTTGAACATTTTCACAAACTGATTGTATTATTCCTGGGAGTAGTTTTGATTTGAAGTGTCCATTCCAAAGTTCTGTTTGTTCTCTATGTCTTCCATAGTCATGACTCCATTTCCCCTAATTTGATCTCCATTTCCCTTTACCTGATTGTTGAAACCTTTCTCATGTGTAAACTGAAAATTTTCTGGAAATCCAATTCGTCCGAAACAATTAAGTTCCACATGTCCAGTTTTCCCACAATAAGTGCAGGTTACATTGGGGTCATATTTTGCTTTCTTGACTTTGGGTCTTGGATACTGATTCTGTCTTTGAAATGCCTGTGATTGTTGAGATGTAGCAGGAGCAGATCTAGGGTATGCATTTCCAGATTTGTTTGAAGAATCCATAAATCTCTGTCCCTGCTTAGAGACTCTATTTTGATATGAATTTCCAACCATAAAAGCTAAAGAATCAGGATTGATAGTAGAATTGACATAAGATTCTCTTTGATTTTCATCCTGCAGCATCAGAGAATATGCAAAATTAATATCTGGTAAAGGATTAATCATCAATATATCACCCCTAGCTTGTGAATAAGTGTCATTCAATCCCATAAGGAATTGGATGAGTCTCTCATCTTCCAAAGATTTCTGTAACTTTTGTTTTCCTTCACACATGCACACACAATTAAACTTGACATTAGTATTTAGAGAATCTAGTTCATCCCATAGTCTTTTCAACTTGGTGAAGTATCCTACAATGTTGGATGTGCCTTGAATTAACATGCTGAGTTCCTTCTGCAGGTGATACAATTTTGCACCATTGGACTGCCCAAATCTGTGTTCCAAGCTTATCCATAGCTCTCTCACAGTTTTTGAGTAGATCACACTGTCTGCGATCTCCTTTGATAATGAATTCAAGATTCACAAGGTCACCATGTCACTGCATCTATTCCAAGCCTGCAAATCTGGAGAACCATCAGCTGGGATTGATTGTGTTCCGGTGATAAATCTCAGCTTGTTTTTAGCTGACAAGGCTATAAGAACAGATCTCTTCCATCCTTGATAACCTGTTCCATCAAAGGGATTATTCACGATAGTCATACCAGGAGCATCAGAAGCATGAATGCTTCTGATAATAAGGGTGATTGTGATCAATCACTGATGTGTTTCCAGTGACTGTTTGTGCAGAAGTGAGTGTGGAAGTTGTAGCAGTTGTTTCTCCTACCATTGCTGAAACGAAATCTTAAAATTGATCAATTGATTTGTTGCTCTGATACGATGAAGAAAAAATTGAAGAACAATGGAAGATTGAAGAAGAATTGCTTGTGTATTTCTCTGTACAACATACATGTATTTAAATACTACTCAACTAATTAAAAGAATTAAAATTATTCTAAATACAAATATATCTGTCTAAATCCTATTGGTTGTCTATGTAACCTCTATAACAAATTTTTATTCCTTTTTGTGCTTCTCACGTGACCTTGTAGATACTTCTAGGTCTTCTAAGATGGATGGTTGGGATTTGATCTCTTAAATGTGTGGCTTAGATTAAACATCTTCCTTGATAGGTCTTGATGATTGCCACGTACTAATGAGTCATAATTCAGACCATGTTCCTGTTTCTTCATCTCCTTCATCTTATCTGTAATTTCAACTGGTTGAAGCACTTTAACTAATTGTTTTGCTTCATTTTTTAATTTGTACTTACCTTAATTAATTACAAAATTTACTAATTACCATGACTGTTTGTCCTGTAATACAAATAAAATAAAATATTTAAGCCAAACACATTTATCTACAAAAAGTACATGATAATCGAAGTTGCTTTCACGTACGAAATGCACTAAGCTTACGATTGGATTTTATTCTTATGTATTATGTAGGAGAATCATTCAAAAAATGCATAATTGAAATGGTATATAAAGAGTTAAAGACCAATTCTAATGGACATATTAAGTAGCTTTGAAGTGGGAGGAGATCAAAAGAGAATCCATTATTTTATACGACTAGTAGTAATCATTATTTAAGTGCAAACAAGAATTAACATAATTTTTAGATGAAAAAGAGCCTAAAATACTTTTAAAGTATTGAAAATGGTACAAAATAACCCTTCATTCACCTGTTGACTTCAAAATACTCTTGTCATCCACCTTTGAATTCAAAATTGACCAATTTTTTTAATTGTTTTAAAATTAAAGTCTTTAAATATTTTTTAAAATACTTGGCGTTCAACAATTGGTTATAATTTAATTTATTAATATAATTTATAAACCAACCCACTTTCCACTCATTACTAACTAAACCTCACCCAATTAATAATCCAATTATAATATCAAAATCATCATAAACACTACTAAAACACGATGAAATTATAGATACATCCAAAATTATTCGAGTCCGAATCGAAGCCCCAATTATATTTAGGTTGAGCCGCTTATTTAGAAGGACACTTTCTTTCAAGATTGAATTAGAAATTTATGATTAAAGGTAAAGAAGTAATACATCCCGAATTATACCATGCACTTTTTTAAAATATAATTTTATAAATATTTATGACTTGTTTTAAAACCTTTAGTATATTATTTTGAAAAAAAATTACCTATGAAGCAACATCACATAATTGAGATGTAAGAATAATTAAGATGAACATAGTCAGACTTTTAAATTTATCGGTAATTTTTATTTAGATACTTAATGTATGATAATTTACTTCTATAGATATTTTCGCATCAAATTTTAAAAAAACACTCAATTGGCAGTAACTAATCTGTTGTTGCATTAATAATATAACGGGTTTATTAATTTAGACAAATTTAATTAGTAATGGGTGGATAGTTGATTGATTTATAAATTACACTAATAAGTTATATTATAACAAATAGTTGAGCGCCATGTATTTAAAAAAATATTTAAATATAAAATCGTTAAATAAGTGATCAATTTTAAACCAAAAGATTGATGATAATGGTATTTTGAACCCAATAGGTGAGTAAAAAGGATATTTTGGAGCCAATAGGTGGATGGAGGATAATTTTGTATCATTTCCAATACTTTGAGGATATTTTGTATCAATGTGGCACATGAGCAAACATTAAGAAGCCTATGGATGGTCAATAGTACATTAATAATGAATGCAATTTAATGGTGTATTTGATTGATCACCTAAGTCGATGTTGATTGACAAACGTAGTAGATCAAGCAACATAAATATATTATATGCCATGCACTTCCTAATACACATACAGTCCTATTCATAAACTTAATTTTCAGCAATCTTTTAAGTTATCATCTCTGCTAATTATGCATTATTATACAACATTCATTGCTACATTTTATAGGACCTTCATTGAAGATAGTCGATAGTAAAGTCTCACTCAAACCATAAGAACCGCAAAACAGTTCAGGCTGACTCAGGTCTAGTTGGGTAATTCCACTCGCACAACTACTGGTGGTAAGTGGAAAAACTTCTAAATATCCATACAGATATTTTCAGCTATTCCAATAGGGATTTTCACTTGATACAGCCATTTAAAGAATGTTGGCATAGATACGACTTTAATTCCTCAAAAATCCCATCAACCACAATTTAGGGTAAAAGCATTTATCATCATACGCCTTTGGACGCAATGAAATTAGAGAAAAAGGAGTTCCAATCCAAACTCTATCACATTCAAATCAAGAAAAACAATGCTTATAAAGAGCATAAACAGACAAAAGAAGTAGGAAACAGAAATTTAGAACATATCCAGATATATCAATATAGAATTGGTTTCTAGCAAAATGGACAGAAAAAGGACTGGAGCAATCAAAGAGACGTACATGATTGAACTTCAGTCAATCGCTAGTGAATTACTGCACAGATATACTAGAATAATTGATGTAAACTGGTGTAAGAATTACCCAGAGCAGTGAGGCCATATCTCAAAGACGAGAATCTCAATCAGCTGAACATCTTGGGTGCAGGCAGTCAAAGCAAACTCTCCTACTGGAAAGGCCAATGGCGAGCGGTCCTCTACATTCATGCATGTTCTACAACTTTGATAAGCGAAACTACTAACAGACACCCAACACTATGTATGTCAGATAATGAAAAAAGAGAACTTAATTGATAAAAGAACGATGAAGTTTAACAGAAATAGATATGACTGTTTTTTAAGGTAAAAAAGGGAGGGGGGTACAAGGGGCACCTTTAAAACAAAACACTAGCTTTGTGTGGAGAAGTAGAAAAAGTAAAAATTTTGAAAGATATCAGTCACTCTCAAAGGGAACACTTAAATAAAATTGTAACCAACTCTTTATCCCTGATAGACAGAAAGAAATTATGGAGAATACTCTTTTAAAAGAGGACTGATATATGACAGGTGATATTGAAAGAGTGGGCGAAAAGGAGCAAAAAAGCAAAATGAAGCCAGCTAACATATAAAGTCAAAAGGGAACCAGAACTCTCAGGAGCATAGACTCGGACACTGCCCTATGAACCCATAAGGAGCACCATTCACAATTTAGTTTAAAGGAGAACATCAAATCCCCAAACTCCTTGGAACAGATTGTACCTGCCAGTCGCGTGTCATGTCATTCCTCATCCTTAATATGAACTTAAAGAAATACCACTATAATTTGAGGAGAGGCGCGTCATATCCACAGAGATTCAAGAAACAGAAGCATCTAGCAATGTAGCCAGCTGGGATCCACAATCCTCAAAATTGAAGATCCCGCAGCAGGGCAGTGAAGAATGAAACCACAGAGTGTAGAAGCAGAAAACCAATGAAGCAGTACCAGGAAGACACCTCGGCACAAGAAAACAAAACATTAATATTTAGCAACATTCTTTGTGATTTTCTTCATAAAAAATAACAACTACCATAAAATCCAACATATAAATCCCTATGATATTAGGTTCTTAAAAAGGGTAACATTGAGTAAAAATAAAACTAACACTAACGACACCAAAGCAAGAACTTAAACTTAACCAAAACCACCAGTTTAAGCTGAGGGCATGGCCTCACTTACACAGTTGTGATTAAGTCAAGGACAGTAACACAAATCGAAAGACTCCAGGACATGTCAGGCTATCATCTCTTTCATTCAGCTTCGGCTTCTGTGACACTCTCTAAGTCCATTTCTGCATAAAAGCAGCGCATAAATAAGAAAAAGGGAACCTTAATCATAATCTTTAGGAAAAAGCAATTAAATGTCCATTCATAAAATAAGTTGTAGCATATCCAAAGACTTAAACTATGTATATATATTATAAAAGAGAGGTCTCAGTTGTGTTCACATTGAAAAGAACCCTAAATATTCAAATAGAGGCTTTACCCATTAACATATGGAGCTTCTTCTCGACCTCGATATGGAGAACGGCTATAGCTGCGACCACGTGGTGACGGGCTTCGGCGCCTAGGGGAACGCCCACGTGGACTGTAACTCCTGCTTCAGGGAGATGAAAATCAGAAGAAACAGAGAGAACAGCAGCAAATTCCATGTAAAGAATATCACATATATTGGAAGGATCTCAAATTGTTACAGATTCCTAGTCAATGATACATCAGTTTCTTACCTACGACCATAACTTGGGCTCCTGCGGTATCTAGGAGGGCTCCGACTTCTACGTCTTCCAGCTCCTGGACCCCCACGCGTTCTGCACTCACGAGCAAAATGACCTGATTCACCACATTCGTAGCACTTCAAATCAGAGCCTCCAGATCGACCTCGACCTCCTCCACGGCCCCCACCACCTCCACCTCTAGAATTATGTGAAAGCTCCACTCTCCATCCATTCTTACCTATGTCATAGAAGCAGGGATAAATTTCCATCAAAGGATTGCTTCGTAGCTCAACATATCACCAGTGTTTAGAAATGCTATGGCAAGAAACAAATAGACAGAAACACATGTATAGACTAACTAAATTGGGGTTTTATCTCAGAGAAAGGCCAATTATAGCATGACCATGAACAAAGACAAAAAGCCATACCATCCAGCTCTTTGATTGCATCTTGTGCATCCCGCCGATCATCGAAGTCAATAAAAGCGTAGCCAGGGGGGCGTCTTGCAACCCAAACACTGTAAACAAATTTGTGAGTTAGGAATGATGGACTTGTAGCAGTTGAATACCATAAAATATGTCTAAGATTGTAGGTGAACTGCAACTAAGTCTCTTAAGAGATAAAAACTTATGAGCAAATGGCTCCACCTAGCCAGGCTAGACTCCCAGGTCTTCATCTAACAAAGGAAAATGTATGACTTCATTGTGTATGGTAGGGATAATGTTCATGCAAAAAAATAACTTGAGATTACGTGATCTTTACATTTTTCTTTTTCGGGGAATGGTAACTATGTAAAGCAGAGATGGAGCATGAGGACTTCCCATGGAGTCACCCATTCTAGTACTACTCTATCCCTGTCCTCATGGAGTCACCCATTCTAGTACTACTCTAGCCCAAGCACTATTTTCACAGAACTATTTACATAAGCATTTGCTAAAAGCATAAACTTCAATAACCATTCTCATGATAGTTCCTCTTTCCACAAAAGTACAATCACAGATAATGTTTCTGATGATATTCAACTGAAGACTGAAGTAAAACTTTAGCTCGTATGAACTACCTTCAAGAATCCCCCCCCCCCCTGCCAATTAATTTAAAATGTAAAAATATGTTCATTTCCTTCTGGTTGCTTACAGGATTCTTTTCTTTTCAATGGGTCACTCCTAAACTGTTCTTTCCACTTTTAGACTTTTCCAGCAAATGCAACTTAATTTGCTCAACCACAATATCTATAACATGTTCATTTTTTTGATCGGTGAACAATATTTGTAACATGTTCACTCATTTTGCAAAGAATAACAATACAGAGAGAGGTCAACTTGTTTTTCTTTCTGTTCAACTTGCTCATCACAACCCTGTTCCTCTTCAACCAAGACCAGAATAAAATTTAGTTCAATAAAAAATTATGCATGGCCAGAAAGGTAGACATGAAGCATCTTTCCATCCTTTGTAAAATCCCAGGAGAGAAACCTTCATTGAAGACCAAGGTTCAAATACCCACAGAGACAAAAAAAAAACTAGATCATTTCTTCCCATCTGCCTAAGCCTCGGTAGACTTAATTAACTGGTACCTTTACTGATGAGAGATTGTAGCAAGTATTGGGTGGAATAATCGAGGTGGACACAGTGTCTTAGATATCATTCTTATCCAAAAAAAAAAGTAAAATAATATTATTATAAGTTGTTTATGTCTTCCACCCTACTCCTAAAAGAACCAATTTGAACCAAATTTCAAATAATCATAAGCATCATATAATGGAGATAAAGGAATCAGTATTAATGGGCTTACGTAGCAACATCAATGGCCTAAGGTGGTACGCCTCAACAAATTAAAACCAACAACAGAACAAATTGCACAAATGTCAATTATGATGGGTAATTTAATGACTCAATTTCAACAAGGGATGGTGAGGATGAAGGGAAATAATAAGGGGAAGATTCAGTTGTCAAATACAGCCATTCATATTAATCATGAAGAGATGTAAATCTTGGAACTTCCTTTACCTTCTTATAACTCCAAAGATGCGGAATTCATCTTCAAGCTCTCTTTCACTGACCCTAGGGTCCAGATTTCCAACATAGACTCTTGACATTTTCAATACACACCTACTACTGGGAAAACAGAAAAGTATATCAACTCTCAACATTAACAAGACCATCAAGAAATTTAACACCAATCACAAAACATCATGCTCCTGGTAACATAACAATATCCTCAAACTATAAGCAATTCTTTCCACTTAAAGATACAAACTTTATGCATCCCTGGAAGTGTGAAAAATGCCTTCAGAGAACTACTTCAAAATATGCACCTCATATATATGGCATAGGCAAAAGACAAATAAATAATTGAAGATTTTTAAGTAAATGAAACAACATGTGATTGCTACACCAACATTTTAAAAGGAAAATGGATTTTATCCCATTAACCAAGTTTGACAAATAAATTACAAATCTAACAACTAAAAAAAGGCAACGCAACCAAAGGAATAAAACTAGACTTTCGCACCACTAATCTAAATTCTGTAACATTTCCAAAGATGAGTTCGAGACATTTTATTTCAAATTTACTGAAAATTTTAGACAAGAAAACTAAATAGCTCCTCCTAAATTATCTTAACTAGCTATCAGAATTTTATGAGTTCAGTCTAATGAAACCCTAGATACATCAACAGCTCAGTAAATCCTTGCTCCAATTTCCGCCGGAGACAAATAAGAACAGGAAACAAAAGGGAAGGGTGAAGACAGACATTTTTTCCCGAATCAACCAAAAATTAAGTAAGAAAAATGGTTAAAACGCAGCAAAAAATCTACTGCAAACTGTTGAAGCTATGCTAAGTTCTAAATACGTTTCAAGTAAATTGAAGAATCTAACAAGTCAATAAAATCAGTAGAACCTGCTCAGAGATTTATTACACCAGAAATCTGTAACACCGTTAAAGTTCCAGGAGAAAAACGGATTATTTTTCCTCCAATTCACTGAAATCAGCAATAATTTCAATACAAGATGAGCTTAAAACTGCAGAAATTGGAAAAGGAGAAGCATACCTGAAACCCTAGCGGAAAACAACAGTGCAGTGAAGAAGAAAGAGCTCGATTTGGTGTTCTGTTGAAACAAAAAGTGGGCTGACCCAAATATGCAAATTGTTGGATTTTATTACTCCATCAAAAGTCACGGGTCAAATACTCCATCAAATCATCATAAATGAGTAGTACTTTTTTTTCAAGTCTAAAATACGAAATACAATGAATTTATATGTCAACAAAAATAGATATAGATATTTACATTCCTCCAAATTCAATTTCTACCTAACAATTTTACCCTTTTAAAAAAAAGATCTTTTGAAAACACCCTTAAAATTGGAAAATTTGTTATACCAATCAAAATAAAAACATGTTTTATGAAATACAATTTAGTTCTCAATTTGATTTATAGTAAAAATTACAAAATATATTAGGTAAATGGATATTTTCAATATGAATTGTTTCTTAGATATTGAATCATACACTCTTTTCATATATGTTTTTTCGTGACTTTGATTTATTTATGGTTACATCCAGTGTTTTAAAAAATTCTATTGGGACTCGCTTCGGGGCTCATCTTGGGGCAGGCTCCAGCAAAACGCTCTGAAACTCAACTGTGGGGCTTAATTTTGTAAGACTTACGCCCTAAGCGTCCGATTGCACGCCCTAAGCACACCCAACGCTCAACGCTCAGGGCTCGCCTGTGGGGTTCAACATGCATCTAGCTTGAGGGGAGAGTGTTAAGAGTATAAAGAAGAATTCAAGGATAATTTGGTAACGAAACAGTTTGTTAAGCTGACAGAATTGTCCTATAACTGCCCAGAATAGGAGCTTATCTCAAGGTTAGACAGTTAGGAAGCGATTAGGTTTATACAGGGGCGAACCCACATAGGGTCAAGCCCACTTCATTGAAAAATAACACCGTGTATATATATATATATATATATATATATATATATATATATATATATATATTTGATCAATTTTTAAAATTTTATATGTATATATTATCTTTTGACCCCACTAACACAAGTGCGGCCCTTGACTCGGTGATGAAGAGGGCTTAATTTTCCTAGCCTCAATCCCTTTGTTAAAATTTTGGATCCGCCACTAAATTTATATAGCCATATTATCGTGTAACAATGTTGATGAATGAAATATTCTCTCACAAATTGCTCTCTATTTGTTGTTGATATGAATCATCTACTTGCTTGAAAAAACACATTTCAAGTATGTCATATGTTCACTAAGCAGAAAAAATATCAACAGAGTTAGGGAAAGTTTAACAAATTGAAAAAAAATTATCCAGTACTATCACATTGAAGTAATTAATTAGAACAATTTTTATAGGATTAAAGATACTATGATTTGTACTCATTTAATATACAAATATTATCTAGTAATTATAAAATAATGATAAGAATCAGTTCATTTGCATCAACTCTCGTTATTTTGTTTTTCATTTAAAGCAATATGATTGTACTGAATTATAATAATTGAAATCTTCAAATTATTATAATCCAGTTCGATCACATTTTGTTAAATGAAAAAGAAAATGATAAAAGCTAGTGCAAATTAATCCTTAATATAATCACTCAATAATGATAATACTAATACATTAAACGACTACTAATTTATAGTATCTTTATATCTATAAAAATGTAGTAATTAATTACTACAACTCTATTTCTTGTTTCAGAATAACTCGTGAACAGAGTTTAAAGATTTAAACACTTTCATTATTATGATAGTGTAAAAATTAAAATTGATTAAATTTATCGTACAACCTTTTTAAATTATAGCTTCTATTAGATTATCCATTTTATTACGAGCACCTTTTATTAACAGACTTATTTACCTTATAAATAATATTAGTAAAATTATACTAATTATGATCATTAACATGAGCCAATCCAACATATTAACCCAACTAAACCAACAAATGAGTAAAAAAAGATCAACGCTTAGTAAGAATCTCCAACATTGAGTTCCTTATAAGTACGAAATGCGGAAGATAAAATATATCACCCCAAGAATTGGTGTCTTAAGTACAAGAGCTTCTAAAATTCGATGCAAATCTGAAACTAAATGACAAATCTAACATAAGGGATATCCTGTTTGAATGCTAATAACAGAATAAATAAAAGATAGAGGGAGGTGTGGGCCACGGAACAGTCAAGCAGCTCACCACAACTCCAAGCTCGGACTCAAATTGCTCCACGAGATGTGCTTCTACTCGGAATCGAATCTGCACCACAAAGAGTGCAACAAACGTAGTATGAGTACGAAACCACGTGTACCCAGTATGTCTCATTGACCGACAACGAAGAAGTAGTGACGGGAGTTATATAAGAAAATAAATTCTTAGATTATACAAGTGTGTGTGTATATATATATATATATATATATATATATATTACACTTACTATTTAAGTTTCATCAATAAAGGAAATCAACATTTAATATTTTCCAAACACCAAACGAAACATATAGTCATCAAGAATGAATGATGGGATGAAATGCAATGCAATATGATGCCATGTAATGATATGTCTCAGAATACCCAGTACTCACTCAACCGTATATACATGATACTCCTCGGAAATACATCGAGAGTTCATGACCCATGGGGGACTCGCGAGGTTCATATACCGACACGGACGATCTCCACGTGTCTGTGCGGACAATCTCAACGCACTATCATAATATCAAATAATTTTCGCACGGACGGTCTCCACGTGCCCAAATTACAATCTTAACATCTCATCATCCCCAGCACGGACGATCTCCACGTGCCCAACTTATAGTCAATCTCATGTCAATGCATGTACACAATATATTATATCAATAAAAGGGGATGATGATGCACCTGAATCAGTCAAATATCGACATACTACATAACCACCTCGATTATCACAACTATACGGGTGTAATAAAGAAAACACAATCACACAAGGATTTCAAGCCAATAATATATCAGCTAATGCCCATATGCTTTGGTAAATACTCAAATTTACAAACCACATTCTATAGTAGTAACTTTCCGTTTTATAACACCAGTACTCGTACCAATGCCCGTCACACCATTGATACGAGACCCCCATCTTTCGCCCTTACCCCTTGGTCTATTTTCATTTTTAATCTTTAATTAGGAAAACGCCCTTCAACAAGTCTAAAAAGCCTTAACATACCTCAAGTGCCGAATTCGTGTCACGAATCTTTAAGATAGTTCCTTCCCTTTTTGCAAAGTTCCGTAACGTTCACGATCTACCAATGATGCAATATTCATAAGTAAGCGAGTTTGTGGACATTCAAATTATTATAGGTATATCATAGACCCTAAACTCACTCATATCTCTAATCAAACGTCAAATCTTGATATAATTTATATGCCAATTTGTTAAATTTCAAGCCAAGAATTTAACCTTAATTTCTTAAATACACAAAAATTCAATTTTAGATCATATAATATATATTCAATAATTAATTACCTATCTCAATATATCAAACTAGTAAATTAATTTTATAAATGAATAAAATAAGAATAATTCCACCCATTAACGATGCACAACGTCGCAAGCCTGCAACGTTTCCTCCAAATTGTCATTCTGTACAAGTGACAATTTGGCCAAATTGTTTGTCACATGCCAATCATTGGCAATCATTGTCCAATGATTGGCTCAACACTTTTCCCCATCATTCTTATGCAAAATTTAATTATACGGGAGGGAAATTTGCAGATCAAATTTACAGATTTTCCCAATACGTCTAGCGATTAGGATTTTATTAGACTATCACCTAATAACCACACTAACGTCCCTAGAAATCCCAATCCGTGATAATAAATAAATTCTCAACTCACTATACACTACATCTTACCCATGAAAATAAAAAAAATACCCTTAAATAACAACATAAGAATAAAATAATAACAACAATCTAATGCCCTCTGACAACCTATTTTAATATGCAGAATTGAGAAAGAATGAAAATTGCTTGCGTTTACCTGAGCAATTCTTATTGTTTTTCCTCTTGTTCGTGCTTACGGTAAGTTTCTGCCTCCACCCCTTTTATTTTCTGAACAAGAGTATGTTAACCGTGAAACCCACTAATCTATTATCTATATTACTTATTGAATAAAAGTTTCATCAGGTACTTGTAGTTATCAATAGTTAAAATACCCCCTTAATTTTTTTTCAAAAAGAGTAAAAATAGTTCTAATTTTCAAAACGACCTAGCGGGTTATTACGTTCACGTACAAGTACAATTACAATAGTGTTAGAAGTTAAAAAAAATAACGAGAATCGATGCATAATTTATCCATCGTAATTTTCCCTTGAAAGTAACACCCATCATTTCATTATTTTTCTATATAAAACTGTGGTGATAACAACATGTGTGGCTCCTTTTAAAACTAATTTTTTTAAAAAAATAAAAAGTTTATAAAATTAAATACTTTTTATTTTTCTATTAAATATTTTTATTACAATATTTATTAACTCTGTTATAAAATTATTAAGTGGCTTTTCAAAAACTTGTCATTTGGCCTAATCACATTGCAAACTACTCTCTTTTATCATATAACTCTAATAATTTTCTTATTCCATTACTTCATCCAATTTCTTTATAGCAATTACAATTACATATGCTTTGTCGTTTCAGTAAAGTAAACATATTTAAATTAAAAATCGATAGTGATAGTCTTTTTTAATTGTTTGAATTAAATCTCATCATTTCTAATGCTTTTAACACTCAATTATGATCATACTCGTGAAATCTTTTACTATATCAATTTATTTTTTTTAAAAAAACAGTAAAAAACAAAAAACAATACTACAATAAACATGTAATCAACTTCTTTTAACTCTATTTCTTGCTTTTAAATATCTTGTGTATGCAATTTGAAGATTCAAATTATTATAATTAAATTCAATCGCACTTCATTATATGAAAATAATAATAATGAGAGTTGGCGCAAATTGATCCGTAGTAATATGAAGGATTTGAACTAACTCTGGTCATTTTTTTTATAATCACATAATATTGATAATACTTGTACATTAAACAAGTATTAATTCTTAGTATCTTTTACCCTATAAAAACGTAGTAATTAATTACATCAACTCTATTTCTTGATTCAGAATAACTCATGAATACAGTTTGAAGATTCAAACATTATTTTTCTTTTTGAAATCTCAGGATAATCCGTAACCGCTATAATTTCTGTCGGAGCATCTGCTTTTCGGGTAAGCACTTTGTGCGCACCGGATAAATCCTTCATTGTATAATAGCCTGCAAATCACACAGAAAATGTAAATTGCACTAGACAAACCCTGCGACAGACTCGACTCAAAAAACATCGAAAGAAATCGATCCCGAATCATCCGCACGAATAACCACCCATTAATCAAATTTATTATACAACTCTTTTAAATATTTGCTTCAATTAATTCATCCATATTTATTGCAATATTTATTCGCTCTGTCATAAACTTATCAAGTGGGTTTTTAATGACTTTGCCACTTGAACTAACCACTTTACAAACTACTTTACTCTATTATACGACTCTTATATATCTTTGATTCAATTACTTCATCCAATTTCATTCCCACAACTTACTGCATTTGTAGATTTTTTGTCATTTAAGTACAATAAATAAATTTGAATTAACTATTGTCATACAAGAGTGACTAATAGATTGGTCATCCACTATCATAAAATTTTGAATCTCCATTCATACATATATATATAATAATAATTAATTTATTATACTATTTTACAAGTGAGAAGTTTACAAGTTAAAAGTTTCAGAACATGCATTTAAAAGGCTAAAATTTTCTGTTACCTAAAAGTAAAATTACTTTTATATAATTTTATATGCTACTTAATGTCTATATACTACTTAAATGGAAAGAGATTTCCATCTTTTGTTAATTATTTTGTGCTTTTTGATATTTCAATTTTATCTCTACAAATGAAGTCATTTTGCCATAGTAGAAAGATAAAAAATTAAAATTTTAAGATGTAGTCCAGTCCATCTATAAATTTTAAAAATAGATAAATAAATTCATCAAATCATATAAAATGGTTAATAATGATTACATTAAATTATTACTTGAAAAAATAAAACATGTTATTTCACTTTTCAAAGAATTTTCAATTTTTTTTGAGTTATCTAATTTAATTGATAATGAATTGTTTTATCTTATTAATCCATTAAATTCTGCAAGTATAATATATTTCCATTTTAAAAAAGTTTATCTATACATCAACAGGTTCAAAAATCAAATGTTACTATTGACTTACTAATAAAAATCTCCAAAAAAAAGGCTTTATAATATAAACTTTTACTATAATATTTAGAATAATTGTTGCACGATTTATTCAAACATCAATTATTATTATTATTTGTAAAGTCTTAACTGATGAGTGATAAATGCTCAAACTTTGTGAATAAACTTTTTGAACTTCAAGATGTTGTTTTACAATTTAAGTTACAAAAATTAGATTCTTGAAATTCTACAAAGTTTTATTCTTATAAACAAAAAAGGGCATATAGCTACTTCTAAAAGAATTGTTAGATACATGCAACATTAATACATTAAACTTTGTTTATATATATATAAAAAAAAAAGGAAAATTAGAATTTCTTAAATCACATTATGTATCATAAACTACAATCTCAAGTAACTGTGACAACAGTCTTAGATTGATGAAAAGAAAAAAAATAAAAACTATCCCAAAAATACATTTTTTTTGAAAGTTTATGTTTTTTAGTTAGGTCCAAAAACATACTTGATGATTGAATCTTTGATTGATAGCAATTCTGGAAACTCATTTTTCAGCTTTGTCATGTCAAGCTCATTGTTACTTCGCGGTGCAACGATCACTTTAGCTTGTTCTTGAAGATCGAAATTCTGCCATTTGAATTTAGGATCAATGTAGTCTCTGTACATCTCTAGAATCTCGTTGTGGCTCACAACTCCCGGATTTGTGAAGTTCCATATACCTCTACAGTTTCTCTTTGCCATTTCGATAGAGATTGGTAGTAGCTCATCTAGAACTGTCATGCTGTTTGGGATGTTTACCACTTTATCATAACGCGTGATCTTTGTGATGAAGTTTCTTGGGTTACTAAGGTCTGATGATATTGGCATTCTTACTCTGAGAGTGCAAACGTTGTTGTATTCTTTTAGAAGCTCTTCCACCTGCATATGTTAATTACGCTATGAGAAACAAAAATGTGATGTGAAATATGAGACGAATATGCCAATGGAAATGAACTAGTGTTACCATGGCTTTGGTTTTCGAGTAGAAGGATCCTGTAAAATTTGGTTTGTCTTCTTCTTTGAATCCGATGCCTGAGCCTAGTGGATGCTGCTCATCATATTCAAATATGCAACCTGTCGCGAAATTCATCACTAAGATATCAGCCTCTCTGCAGATATCAGCTAAAGTTAGTGTACCAGCAACATTCGTTCTAATTGTTTCTACTTTGTGTGATTCACACCAATCCACATTAGGCCTCCCAGTAACACCAGCCGCGTTGAAAACATGAGTTGGCTTTACTCTTATCATGTCTTGCATTAGAGAACTCCTATCCTGTAGTCGTCCTAATCCATACTCGTATGCTATTCCACGTTCTTCACAAATCTTTCCTAACAACCCTCCAATCCAACCTGTTTTTCCGTAAATCAAGAACTTTAAGTCTGAGCCAGATGCTTTCTTGCTTCCTTTTACAAGCTGCAACAGACACCCTTCATCATGTGAAGGCGCGATGTTTGAGATTCTGGGATGTGGGTGAAGGGCTCCGGTTATATCACCCCACCAATCGGGATTTTTTGTGTACCAATCGAGTGTCATCTTTAGTCCTGCCTCCCAAGTAGTCCTTTCTTGCCACCCTAACTTCTTAAGCTTTTGATCATCCAGGAAATACCTTTGATCATTAAAAGGCCTATCTTGTACAAGCTCGATAACTTCTTTAGCATTCTTTCCAACCAATTTGCATATATCCGCAGCCACGTCCAAAACTGCCCTCTCTTTCTTAGTACCAATGTTATACACATGTCCAATAACCCCTTTGTGCAGTATCACATCAAATGCCTCAGCAACATCAGCAGAGTACAAATAGCTCCTAACATTTGTTCCATCGCCATGAATTGGCAAACGCTCACCCTTCATTGCTAGAATAATGAACTTTGGGATCAACTTCTCAGGGAACTGATTTGGGCCATACACGTTATTCCCTCGAGTAGTGATTGTTGGTAGGCCATAAGACCTATTATAAGCCATGACAAGCATTTCTGCTCCAGCTTTAGTCGCGGAATATGGATTAGTAGGAAGGAGTTGAGAAGCTTCAGGATTGCCAATGTCAGTTTCCAAATCAGTCTCGCCATAAACTTCATCGGTACTAACATGAATGAATCTCTTGATGCATTTAGTCAACTTACAAGCCTCAAGAAGCACATGAGTACCGTAAATATTATTAATGGTGAACTCAAACGAATTTCCAAATGAATTATCCACATGAGTCTGTGCTGCAAAATGCATAATTGTATCAATCTTCTCCTCAACCAGAAGATGGTTGATAAGATCAGCACTAGTAATATCAGCCTTGACAAATTTGAAATTCGGACACGAGTAACTTGGCTCCAAATTTTTTAGACTCGAACAATAATCGAGCTTGTCAAGAGCAACAATCCTGTAGTTAGGATATAGCTTGGTCAATCTATTGGTTACATGAGACGGAATGAAGCCTGCTGCACCCGTTATGAGGACATTTTTGGGTACATAAGGAGCTGGTTCGGACGACATCCTTATTTTTTTTGTTGCTATTTCAATGCACTGTTACAAAATGATAGAAAGTGACATGTTAGCTCATGAAAAACAGAACAACAACCTACATAATCTTTATCGATTGAACAAATAGACACGCATTTTCTAAGTGACATAATACACAATTACCCAAGTAAGACACCATGTAGGATGCAAAATGGCCAAGTAGGATGCTCCATAAGACGCATATATCTAGTTGTTCAGTTTTATACAAGTTTAAGTATCTTTGAGGGATTAAGTACCGCGAGACACTGGCAAATTGAATGTAGTATTTCAAATATGATTGAATTTGGCTTCTTAGCAAGCAATTCTGGTAGAAAGTCCCAACATTTTTGAACAATATATAAGTGAAAAAACACTAAATTTTGACAATTATTAAATTCAGTCTTTTTCTCCAAGAGAGATTGATCATAGGCTAAAATTATTCAACATCACAAATTTCTTCACGTAACAAGGATTGTTGGTAGCGGGTTAGAATTATGCAAGTATAATTAGTAATACAAGATTAGTTCCACCACCTTCTATACTGCATAACATAGTACATAGATTCACGATTACATTGATTAGTTATGATATGACAATTAAATATTATTATTAATTTTATATATGAATAACTTGTTTTTTATATAACTATCAAACGCCGCATAAATTATACAAAAATTAATACATGAATAACTTTTTTCTTATCCAGCAACTGCCAAAATCAACAAGAGTAATCACAGATAGATCACAATACCATAAACCAAAAAGAAAATGAAAAAATAAAAAAACTTACATTTTCACTTCATGGAATTTTCAGAATAATTTTTGCTAGGAAATTATAAAGATTGCAGAATAAGAATAAAAGAAGAATTAAAGTCAGAGCAATTCATACATTTTTGGCAAATGTATCAATTTAGTGAAAGTGATTGAAGAGGATTAATTAATTGGAGAGAAAAGCTTAAGTGAAAAGGGATAAGAATGGCTGTTGATGCGTCATTATAGCAAAAGTAGTAGAGATTAACCCTTTTTTTAGTTCCTTCTTTTCAGCCTAATCTATATATTAACATTTTCACACATCAAACTAATTATGACCGCTAGTCAAATATATATTTAAATAAGAAATCCATAAAATTATATGAACAACCAAAAATTATATTGATAAGCAACTATTTATTGATAAATCATATTAATTTGTTAAAAATATGATCTCACATTTTTAAGATATTGAGAAATCTAGAAATATACCCAAAAAAAATACCTTATATATAATTAAAATAGAAAGTTTTACCAAATCTTTGATAGTATAGCTACTTACGTTATTATTCTATGTCCATTAAAAGGCGAGATTATTTTTTTATTTACTAATTCCATGAAGTTTTTCCCTCTAGTTATAACCGAATCAAAAAAATTTGTTGCAATTTAGATTAGAAAAAAAAGTAAAATTGAGAATATATCTAATAGTTATTAAATTTGAGATCGAAGATAAATTAAAATTATTTAACACAGTGAATTGAATTATATTAAAGAATGAACTTAGTCTACCACTAGAATTAGTGACGACTTAAGTTAATTAGTGGCTAAAGCCAAAAATAACGAAAGCCCTAAATTTAAAATATTTTTTATACGTAGATTCAAGTTATTTTTTTCTTTTTAATTAAAAAAAGTTTTATTTTTTATGATTTTACACTAAAAATATATATACAAAAATATTTTTTAATCTTATGATTTTAAACATATCACGTGGAAGTTAAATTTAAAAATTGATCCATAAAATAGAAACATTCTTTAATGTTTTGAATCAAACTAAAAAAATAAAAATTTACCATATATTTTATTTTTTTCATTAAAAAATTGTATTATTACTCAAAAAAATTAGGACCTCCAATTTTAAGGGTGTAAACATATAACTCATATTGAGTCACCTCCAACTAAAATTATTTATATCATCGATTGTCCGTTTGCTTTTACTGAGAAATAATAAAAATAAAGAAATAAAATTTCTTTTTGATAATACACTAGGTGAAACTTGACTTTCAAAATATTTTAAAAAGGTCACATGGTAGGATCTACTTTTAACTTTTCAAATGTTATTCTTTGTTTAACAGTTCGAGTTTTAAAATGACTTCATTTCAAGATTCTTTTATCAATTTAAAAATAATATTCCAAGGTTTATTTGGTAGATTAAAAGAAAATAATGCAAAATTAAAAATGGCCATCAATCACCAATCTTACCATTCGTGCTAACAATTATTTTCCTTTCTTTATCTCTTTCTAAATGTCATTAAAGACAATATATTGTTCAATTCCTATGATATTATCCACTAATTCAACCATTTATTCACTTCATTAAATGTTGACAGCTAGCGCTTATGAAATGCTGCCTTTATAATGGTTAGGGCCTAGAATATTTTCATAAAATCTATAATAGAGATTGAAGTTTATTTAGCATAAATATTATCCCTTTCATCCGCTATTATTTATCATAATTTCTATTTTTAGATTTAAACTATAAATACTTTAACTAATATTTTAATATGAATTTTTTCATTTTATTAATATGCATTGTAATTTATAGTATTTTTCATATAGTTTTGAAATATTTAATTTTTTTAATTTAAAATATCGAATTAATATAATCTAATTTAACTTTGAAAATTAGTTAAATTAACCTAACATGATAAATAATACCGAACAGAGGAAATAGTTGTCTCAACATAATAGGAGACATTGCGGATGAATAACAAGTGTGTATAATCTGCATTGGGATAATTAATTTAATGGAATATTTCAATGAATGCTATAATTTTTTTGATTCCATTCTCAGTATCAAACAATCTCATACATGATCCAATGATCAATAAAATAAGTGAAAATCTAATACTTTATACAAAAAAATATATATAAAACAAAATCCTAAAAGCTAACGGAGATTATTAGGGATGACAAAATAAGCTTATAGTATCATGATCCACTCAACTCGTAATCCACTTATTTAATTAGATTCATTTTGATCTCTTAAAGCTTAATTTATTTTCAAAATGGACTGATATGCAAAGTCATAATATAACATTTTTTTTATTATTATTAGGTATTCAAATAAATTATAAGAAATCAAACTTTATATTTAAAACTTTTTAAAATAAACAGATTAAATTATGCCTTCACTTTTTAAATTATCTCAATCAGCAAGTAACATTTAAATGGATCATTGATCCGCCCATTTTAATATTTTCAAATTTAATTCAATTCGCTCATTTGATATCGTTGGAGAAAGAATCCATTCAATCATCACATGAGATGGGACATATGAGCAATGGATGAGTCAAAACACCTTTACTATCTATCATTTTTTCCTAGAAAACGCCCAAAACAACCTGTTACAAAACTACCGAGCAAAAGTAAAAATACGATACATAATTTTGAATGTGATCAGACAACCAAAAATCAAATAATGACAGAGAGGCATACCAGAAAAAGAAGAAGCAAGAAATAGGAACGAAGAATGAAACTTTACAACAACTTTTTCGTAATCACCATTCTTTCTAATGTTCTATGCTAAATGATTAGAAATTAAATCACATAAATTCTCCCAAAACTTCACTGCTGGTAAGATCTCATGTAACAATAAGGTCAATCGAATACTTTAATACACTCCTCTCATCGTGATCCCTCTACTTCACAGGACGATTTCATCTTTAATTTTAGTCTTGGACCAAATATTCATATTCATATATGCTCGATGAACAGTCAAAGGGGTTCAAAATAGAGCATTTTGACTACTATACATGTATTGATAAAACCTTGTGAGTTAGGAGGATATGAGATCACAGAACAAGACAAGTAGATGTGTCTACTAGGCCAAACAAAATGATATTATCGTCTCATTATAAAGAAATATTGTACAGTTGCTAATCCAGTGTACAAGACAACTACAAAAATTCAGGAGACGGTACTATTGCTTAGTTTGTGAATAAATGAATGAGTAAATATATAAGCAAAACGAATAGGTCTAATTGACTAGTCCTTTATCGTCTTGAGGATAAAAAACTCACAGTTATTTAACGATCGCAGTTTGATTCTGATCAGCAACGCTATTGTTGAACTTTCCACTAGGTACTCGAACTTTGAAACTACCCTGTCTCGTGGCCTTTGGAACAAAAAGAGAATTCAGCATTTTCTCCAAAGACTGAACAGTGTATTTTGCATATTTGGAACTTCCTTCTTGTTCAACCAACGGCCCGTAGTTCTGCATGTAACTCCGATATACAGGTACAATCGCCTGAATGATGAGCTGGCATGTCTTTTCTCTTAGCTCTTTGTCAAGCATGATCCAATTAGACTGCTTCTTATACATGTCATCAAAAGCTTCATTAAAAGCTTTTAATCGTTTCTTAACAAGATCGCGAGCAGTGGCACGCCCACCAGAGAAGAGAATGAGACCTTCCCGGCTTAATAGAGCTGGAAGCTTCGCCCAGCTCTCTCTCAAGAAAACGGCAGAATAGTACTCTTTGTACTGTTCATGTTCTCTCAACCAAGAATCACCCAAAAGAATACCAAGCTTTGTGCCTTTCAGATCCTTGTAAAGGTGCCAATGATTGTTCATCAAGAACACGTATGACAAGGTATCATCTTTGTATCCCTTGGACCATGTCTCTAGATTAAGCTGAACAGCTCTCATAATATTCAGTAGCTCATCAAAGAGAAGCCGCTCTTGAAATATTTCACGCTTCCAACTTCTTTCGATTACCAAAACTTGGGTGAGCATTGGCTTATAATCATCTCCAAGCAGCTTATTGCAGTAGTCGGTGATAAAGATGATAAGTTTCGGGACACCACCATCTGGAGGTGGTGGTATTTGCCTCTGCAATTCAACTTGAACCTGAAGTTCCCAGAAGAGTTCACTAGCCCCATCAATCACCCTCTTGATGAGATCCCTCGTCAACCTCTGGATTTCAGCACATGCAGCTCCACCGAAGAGCCGATTGAAATCCAATCTCAGTTTGTTTAAAGATGCAAAGATATCTAACAGTTTTAACATCTTAATTGGATCCTTCTTACTCTCCGTAACAGTTTTTCCAAACTGAATGAATGCAAGAATACTTGCCTGGGAAGCTATTTTAGCGAAACAACCCATCCACACATCCAATCCGAATCTATCAAAGACATCATTACAGAGTTTATACTCAGCCTCTAAAAGATGTTTCACAGCAAACTCTAGATGCTTACCCCAATTAGCAATGTGGCCCTCTATGCTCTGCACGTCATTGAACTCGGAGACTGAAATCTCAAGGTAATCCAAATTAAGTGCCTGCAAACTTTCCCTGACATTAGAACTCCGTACCTCAACATAGATTGACACACACTTTTCAAGCCTGTTATTGGCAACCAATCTGCCAAGTATACTCTGTAGCTTCTTTATAACAGCCACAGGCAAAAGGGATGGAGCTATGCAGGCCTGTTCACCTGGTAAGTCCGGAGTAGACATAGGCAACGGTACACTATTTTCAGTCAGTAACCGCCTAAACTCATTTTCCAATCTATCCAACGCAGCCTCAAGAAGTCCTCCATCAAGGCAACTCCAATCCTCCCCACGATGCAACTCCTTCAGAGTAGTCAACGCCTCCTTTAAACTAGAAATGAACTTGTCATCAGCAACATTATGATCCTCTAGATACTCCACAATGTCCGCCAACCACTGAATCGCCATGTCACAATTCTCCCCCAAAAATTTTAACGCCTCTTTAAGCCTCTTGAGCACACCGAAGTACCCAGGGAGGTCAGATTCAGGATCAGACAACGAGTTCTCGAGCCCATGAATAGCATCAAAAACCTTAAGAACAGCAGCAGCAGGTACCACAGCACGATTAATATGCCCAACGACAGCCCCAAGAGCATCTTGATCAGCCCTAATCGGCCTAATCGCAGCCTCCAAAGAAGGCAATCTCTGACTAATCTCAACTAATCTTGGCCTAGCTTTTTCAAGGGATAAACCTATGTCTTTAGATTTCTCTAAATTAACCCTCATGGATTTCCTAGCAGATATCAAATGTTCAACACCTTTTTCCATCATCAAATTAATCAAAAATTGCAAAAACCAACTGAAAACACAAACCCCACCACTGAATTTCAAATCTCAAACCACTTCCACAACAAAAAATTTATTCTGTATCCCTTTTGGCATATATGCAATGCACACAATAAACTGAAACTGAAAGAACAAAAAATCAATCTGGATTCTTGTAGAAGTGAACTTTCATGGTTTGCTTCAGCAAACTTTCAACAACCCAAAAGAGTAAGCAGCAGAAACAAAAAAACTAGTTGTCAAAATTAAGAAAAGCAAAAGTTAATCAAACAAGAAACAGCAGAAGAGGTATATGGCTTCCAAGAACTCACCAAAATTGTCAGCAATCCAAAACAGAGATTAAAAATACAATCTTGACCAAGACCCAGAGCAAGAAATGGATGACCTAAAGCCAAAATTGGGAATTGCCCCCTTTTTTATACTAGAAAGTGCAACTGACTGACAGCAAATACAATAAGTTTTTGTTAAGACTTGCTAATATTAAAGAGAACAAAAAAAATTAATACTGGGATGATTCTACTTTGTCTTCTTCCTAAAATAAAAACATTAGGGATTGTTTGGTCGTCAAACAAGTTGGGCACCATTAAGTGTAATATTTAATTGGTTTATTTTTACTTTTTCATTGTATTAAAAATGAGAAAATAGTCAAAAAATCCCTTAATCTATAAAAGTATGAAGGTTCAACTACGTACTTATACTCTAAATTATGAGTGTATAGTTGAAAATTCGACTCTAAAGATGTTCATTTTTAATAGTTATTGATTGCCTTGTCTAATTTTATTTTTTTAAAAAATTGGGATTGGATTCACACATTTTTTTTTATACTTTATTTGGATTGCGAATAACTCAATGATAGAGTACTTGATTTTTAAGTACGGCTAATGTCTTTTACACATATGGATATGGATGAAGTGAGATATTAGTCGTGCATATTCTCTAAAGTTTGAAAGATCGCACCTGATCACTTAGTTTCTAATTATTTTTATTATTGACGAAAAAGGACCTAAAATATCGACTAACTATTTGAATTGGTATAAAACTATTCTCTGAATATAATTCAACTCCCAAATACCCTAATACTTACCTTTTAGTTCAAAAATATCTTTATTATATTCAAAAGACGATTTAATCAATTGTCATTCTTAAGGATTGCGCCAAATTAATAATGCACAAGTAAAAATGACGGAGGAAGTAATTATAAAGCAAATATTAATAATGTTTCGATTGTAACGTAGAACTTCCATTAAAGATTAATTTATAAGTTATTACACATGAATTACTCGATCTGTTCGAATTTATTTGTTTATTATTGACTTGACATAATTTTTTAAAAAAATAATAAAGATCATAGTAATTTTATTGTAGCATTTCTATTGGTCAATTATTGCCATGAAAACCTTTTTTAATCCTTTTCATCTTCCTGAATGTGATATAAAGCATTATTTGTTTACTAAAAAGACTGTTTCCTCGAGGATATTTTATATGTAATTCCAAATTTTTGGGATAATATCTTTTCTACAATTTTCCGTGACATGTAACAAATTTAAACATTCATTAGTGACAAAAAAAAAATAGGCGTGAATGAAAAATTTCTTTTTGAATGAAAATTACGTGTAGAACTATATTTATATATTAATTAATTTAAAGTATTGAATATGAAATATTTTATACTAACAAAATTTTCATAATAACTAACTATATTTTCAACCAGAAAAAGATTAGGAAAAAAGTTACTAAAAACATGTTTAATCCTTAACCTACAATGTAATGGAATAAACTCTTTTAAGTACCAAATGGAATAGGATACGAAAAAAAGCTATTAATCCAAAACAGAATAACATTAGGAATGGGAAAAATCATTACAAATCTTATAAATACATACTTTGATAAGCCATTAAGCATTCACAAACAGAGTTACTGAATCAAAATCAAAATTCATCGATCAAGTATGATCTGGAAAAAGCTTAAGGTGTTGGGAGCTGGTTCTTACGGAACTGTGTCTCTTGCAACGCCGTTACCACAATACTATTCAGGAACTACGATCTACGGAGCTGTTAAATCCGCTGAACTTTCTCATTCGTCTTCTCTCCAAAGAGAAGGGGAAATATTCAAAGTGTTGGATGGATCTGATTATGTAGTACAATGTATGGGAGAAGATGTGAGCATTGAAAACGATAAGCACACATATAATCTCATGCTCGAATATGCTGCTGGTGGAACTTTGCATGATATAATTCACAACCCCTTTAATATGATCATGGGGGAATCAGAGGCTGCTTACTATACTTTTCAAATCTTATCTGGAATTTCTCATATTCATCGTAAAGGTTACGTCCATTGTGATCTGAAACCGGCTAATATACTTGTTTTTCCTCGTCCACAATTCAAAGTTCCACATTTGAAGTTGACTGATTTTGGATTGTCGTTGACATCAGATGAATCACTTACCTACAGGGGAGAGCGTTTGAAGAACAGTGGCTATTATAGCCATAGAGGTACCCTTGCGTACGCAGCTCCGGAATGTATAGTGTGTGGGATTCACAGTACAGCCGTTGATATCTGGGCACTTGGCTGCATTGTGGTGGAGATGCTTACTGGGGAGTGGTTATGGCCCGTAGATAGAAACAAGGATGAGTTAATGTTCATGATTGCGCATCATAAACCAGAGATTCCAAAAAGATTATCAGAGGAAGCAAAGGACTTTTTAAGCAAGTGTTTCGAAAAGGATAACTGTTTGAGATATAGCGCTGATATGTTGCTTCATCATCCATTCATCAACAAAAGTTGTTATAAGAACCTGATGGAACATCGATTGATGTATCCTTCTGTTAGTGTGGGATGCGGAGATTGGATTTCATCAGAGCACTTGTTTTCGACAATCAGTCCTCGTGACAGCAACTTCAGAGGATAAAAAGTCTGATATGCAGTATAAGAGGGGCCTCGGATTGAATTTGAAAGACTTATTACATGTATATTAACTCGTGAATCTCTTAACAAAAATCGATTGATTGATAGCTTGGTGGTAATGAAGTTGTGATTTTGATCTGCAAGGACATTTTTGAGATTTTAACTTTTCTACCAGTTATGTTTAGATTTATAATTTGAAAGTTATATAAATTTTCATTTTATATGTTCTGATGTGATCTTTTTTATGCAAAAGGTGGATATGAGTTTTGATAATGTTAGACTTTGATCTATAATTTTATGTCTTTTATTCACCTACATATACACATTGATTTTGCCTTATTCGTGAACATAAAAAGGAATGGCTATAATTGGTAACTACTTAATAGTTTGTTGCAGTCATTTGGTATAAAAATATGCATTTAGGAATTAAGTTTTTTTTAATTCCTGAAGAATTTTAATTAAAACATTTTATTCATGTTAGGTTTAACTTATTTGGCAAAAAGGTTCACAAATATGTACCTTCTATTAGAAATTTCATTTAATTTGAGGATAATTTTGATTAGTTTATGAACAGAGTGACTGAATTTTGTTCATGAGATAGAAAGAACCAAAATACTTTGATTTCCAAACAAGAACATACCTTTAAAATAAATTTTTATTAATTAATTATATTCTCAAACACTCAAACACTGTGTAAAGATGTAACACCTAAGGCCTCGCTCAACCTCAAAAATCAGCTCATGAGGAAAGGTTTGTCAAGGTCCATATAAGGAGACAAAATTCACATCACTCTATCGATATAGGGACATCTTAATATTCACCGCACACCCAGACCTCAATTGAAGTGTGAACACTTCTAAATGGGCTCAATCATTAGTGAAGAACAAATTAGGATGGGTCTGCTCAAATATCACGTTGAAGTGTATAATCATGTCATCTAAAAGTTTAAGCTATTAGGAATATGAAAAAATGTCAAAAATACCTTCAAACTATTCAAAATAGGTCAAATTTACCCTTAAACTATATTTTGGCTCAAAAATACCATTCACGTCAAACATTGGGTCAAAAGTGTTCTTATAAACGGAAGTTATTAAATGTCATGTGGATGTCACATTGTACACCAATAGAGTTCCACTAACATGTAGACTAAAAGGAAAAGGATAAAAAAAAACTACCCTTAAACAATCCGAAATAGCTCATATTTACCATTAAATTATAATTTCGCTAAATACTACCCTTTTCATCAAACTATTGGGTGAAAAATGTCCTTCTTATTAACGAAAGTTGTTAAATGCCATGTGGGTGCTATATATATGCCACATTGAACGTCAATAAGGTTTCACCGCCACGTAGACTAAATCCTTAAATCTTAATTACTCTTTTTTTTTACCGTATTTCATTATTTTTCAGAAATGATTTCAACCATTTTCCCTCATTTCACGGCTAGGGTTTCACAATTTTATTCGTCGTTGGGTTTCAAAGTATATTCGTGATTGAAGGTTAGTAACTTTTTCTTATTTTATTATGTTTACAACCAGGAATATCCACTTTGAAACTCAGCCCCCAAAAAAGCTAGGAAACTCTAGCCGTGAAATGAGGAGAAAGTTGTGAAATCCTAATTATCATGCATTGAAATTGTAAATGTAATTAAATAAGAAAAAAAATTATTAGCCTACAACCACTAATATTCACTTTGAAACCTATCCTCGAAGAAAGTTATGAAACCCTAGCTGCGAAATGAGGGGAAAGATGTGAAATCCTAACTGTCATGCTTTGAAATCGTTAACATATAAAATTAAAAAAAAAATTACTAACCTATCACCACGAGTATTCACTTTGAAACCCATCCAGGAAGAAAACTTTGAAACCCTAGCCACGAACTGAAAAAGAATGGGTGTTTCTGAAAAATAATGAAACGAGGGAGGGGGGGGAGGGTAATTAGGATTTAGTCTATGTGGCAATGGAACCCTATTGACATGCAATGTGGCATTCACATGGCATTCAACAGCTTCCGTTAATAAGAAGGGTAGTTTTGACCCAATAGTTTGACAGGAAAGGAAGTTCTAAGCCGAAATATAATTTAAGAGTAAATATGAGCTATTTCGGATAATTTAATGATATTTTTTTTAATCATTTTCCGTTTAATCTCTATGGCAGTGGAACCCTATTGTTGTGCAATATGACATCCACATGGCATTTAACAACTTCCATTAATAAGGAAGATACTTTGACCAAATAGTTTGAAGTTAATAAGGAAGACACTTTTGACCAAATAGTTTGATGAGAAAAGTAGTTCTCCGTCAAAATATAGTTTAAGGGTAAATATGATTGATTTCGAATAGTTTATATGTATTTGTAATTCTTTTCAAAGACTTATATTAATTAATTATATTCACAGCAGCATAACTATATGCAAATTATAAGCGACTTATCAATGCTAAAATCTAGGTTATTAATTTTGTATTAGTTATTCAACAAATTAAACTGATTGGTTGATATTTCCTGTCATATGGATTCGACGTTAATCACCTATTCATTGCATGCAGTTTGTGTGTTGATGAGCCCAACTATCTATTTCAGTCCATTTTGACATCAAATAATGCTAACCTTTCCCATTGATCAATTATTATATGTGCTCTTGATACACATACAAGAAAACAAAAAAGAATGATGAATTGAAATCGACCCATCACAAAGAGAGGTTTTAGATAGAGTGATCAAATGTAAACGATTTATAATTCCTAAGGTTTAATCAGTATCCATAAATGGCCTGCCAAACTGACCATTTACACTTCAATGTAGGGTTGACATGATATGAAAAGAATGTAAGGAGGCTGGAGATAACGAAAACCTATGGTTTATGATCCTTGCATCTTGCCTTTATTTATTGCAACTCTTAATCATCTTCTCTTTCAGGTGGAAGGCCACACGGCAAAAGCATTTTCTGCACAAGCACAAGCAACTAGGCATTGTTAGTAATAATAGTATAAGACCAAATCAAGGACGTATATTCACAATCTATCATATGTATATAGAAATTCAATACTTTTGCTTGTTCTATTCTTATAAAATGGAAAGAATATTAACAAATTGTAATCTTTCCATGTCCGGTGATAAATAAACTTGAACGTTCTCTCTTCCACGTGAACCAGCTAACCCTTTCATCAACACGGAAATTGTTAAGGAAGTGGCTGGCTCTCCAGATAAGTAGCATTAAAATTATTGCATTTAACAAATGGTCGTACAAACACCCACGAGTGGGATCATGTTGAGATGACGATTAACTGCATATCTATTCTATCCTTTCCAAAAGGCATACACATTGGAGATAAGTCCGCTTTCTTAATGTTATCTGACTAACCTCTAGCCTATAAATTTTTTTGAAGTGGCAACATAACAATGGTTGTTGGGCTTAACAAGGTTTAACCACTACAAATAACTACAGGCAAGTCGAACTGTAGCTCTACATCACAGACTTGAAGACTTCTAAGTTCACAAAAATAATTACTCCCTCCATCCTAATTTATGTGGCATACTTCTATGTTTAGTCTATTCAAAAAAGAATGTCATACTCCTTATTTAGAAACAATTTAACTTTAACTACTATTTTTTACCATTAATGAGACAATTTATAGCGACACAAATGTCTATAGATTGTTTTACAACACAAAATCTTTTTTAACTCCATGCTCAATAACAAATCGCCACAAAAATTGGGACAGAAGGAGAATTGTTTTGGAAGTTTCTAGTCGAAGAAGTGCGACAGCCTTCTAGTATATCGTCACAAAAACTCCACTTGTTAATGTCAGTCAAAGGACTTCATGTTTTCCTCCTTTTCAACAATGTTAACTTCCATCTACCTACCACCCTATGAGGTAAGGAAATAAAATTATTGTTAGGATGTCCTTTATATGTTGGAAGCTAGACAGTGATTATAAGCAGTCCCTACAGAAAGGTTCAAGAAACACATCTTCCCTTTCAATTCTTTCCGTAGAACTTGACCTGAAACGATTCAAACCAGAGGAAAATTTGGGAATCCTCAAAGACTGGTCTTTCCAGAATGCAGATAGAATCAGCATGACAGAGTGTATGTACTACACCTTTATATAAAGGGCCAAATAGAGCACAACATTAAACTAGTACCCAAACAGTTCCCTCTAGCTCTATGCAATTCAAAATTTAAAGGCATAACACACTCACACTTAAGCACTGAAAAGTGGTGAACTGCTAGGAGATATTCAAAAATGAATATGATGTCTTCGTATGCATCTTCCTCTAGCGGATGAAGTTGAATGGTTTCAAGTTCTATGTTTACTCACAAAAATGACACACTTGCTTTAGGTAGAGCGGAAGTCTAGAAATCATATTTTCTAGCTGACAAAGTGGAATGGCTTCAAGTGGCAGGTTTACTAAGAAAATGGACAAAGTAGGTATAGTTAGAGCTAACTCACTCAAGTCTAGCAAGCATATAGCAAAAGGATAAACAATACATCAAAAAGGTGGCAGAACTGATAACACTAATTCCTTGACATACCCTTAAACTATAGATATACATGTTCCAACCCTAATTAATGATTAAACATATCATCAAGTATCTCCTCTACATTTTCTAAACCGGCAACTTAGCTTAATATCCTAGATTGACCAATCAAAAGCTCCCCAGAAACTGCATGTGCATTCCAACTTCATGGTCTTGGCATCTACTCCAATTTTTGTGTTAGTTCAGATCCTTGGTAATTTCTTTTGGAGCCTCAACTCAAATTTGATCCAACGTCACAAACCTTGTTTATTCAACCCCCCGCACATTCAACCCCCCGCACACGGGCGGATGACAAAAAGTTATAAATAGGGAAAACCCAAAAACTAAGATTGACAACCATCCTTCTTAAAAGCTCATTTGCAAGAAACCTTGCCAGTTTGATATTTGGTTAGGAAATAGTAAACGTTTTTCTTACTAGTTACTGGTATTATTTTAATCAAGAAAAACAAAAAAAAGGGCAACATGAAGGTGCTACAACTTATTAGTGCAAATAATTCATTTTTTCAACAAAAGACAATGCTCTTGCACAACCTATAATCTTAACATCAAAGCAACAGCAAGTTCAATCATCTAGCTGGTAAAGGAACGCACGGAAGTACACTAATAGCACTGAGTTCACTCATTATGCAAGTCAACGAGAAAACTGAAAACAATTCCTTACACAAGCCAGCACATTAAGATCTAAGAAAACAAAATAACCACCAAATTGCAAAACAAGATAAAACATTTTCAACAAAGCACAAACCTGCATAAAATTGTAACGTTCTCTTCCAATTGATTCATTTTCTGCAATGGCAAAATACGCCAACATTGGATAGTGCCCAACATAGGACGCATAGCTATCGCGCTGAATGTTTACCGCCCACTCACTAAACCAAATACAAAACATCCATAACCTCAGTTATAATTGTTTGACGATAAATGTCAAACAGAGACAATAAATAAATATATAAATTAGATCAATTTCAAAAAATGCAAAAGTAGGCAACTTACAATCTAGTCAAATCGGCATGTCCTGTTCCAACATATTTAGCTTGTAAGTGCTCAAGCTGGGAGTTGATGTTGAACCTGTCACTAGCCTGTATACACTCATTAATCAACTGTACATTCTACAAACAGAGAAAAATTACAGTAACATGTACACTGAGCTACACAAAATAAATTAGGGTTATGGGAAGAAAACATCGGGTGTTCGTGGAGATCTGGAAGATGATAATCAAATTTGAATATGAAGGTAAAAATAAAACTTCACAAACATACATAAGTTGCACATGAAATTAAAAATCACGAAAGGACATAAAAATCAAAATTGAAAACATATACATCAAAGAGGGAAAATATATTAGGGTTTTGGTTAAGAAAGAGGAGCGAAATTGATCGAACAAGGAGATGATAATCAAAATTGGTGTAAATTTACCTGCATTTTTTTTTTTGTACAGTGAGAAGATTGAAGGAGAGGAGATGAATAAAGCAGAGCGCGATATGGACTAAAATATACTGTCGAAGACGGGGAGTGAAGCGGGTCACGCTTTCGGGTACATACACAAGAAGCTTACGTAAATATATTATAATTAAAAAATATTTATTATTTATTATAATAATATTTTTTTTATTTAATCACTTTTAGTTTAGCTAAATACAAGTTTAATTCATATTACAAAGAATAATTTTTTATTCATATATAATATAAATTTTAGTGATAGATAATTCATTTATCACACATTTTAATACATTTATAATATAATGTGTCAAATTTTACCAAACAAATAGAATATATTTTAAAAACAATTATAATTCATATATATTAGATACATAATTTACTTTTAATACATATTGCAGATTTAACATAATATTATTATAAATGGTAATAAATAAAAAATATTGCTAAAATAAGTAATTATTTATCAAAATGTACCAATTTATGTAATTTTTCTTACATTAATATATGAAATATCGCCAATATAATTACAGAAATACTCCCTCCCGCCACTAAAAAAATAGCCTAATTATTTTTCATAACTATAGTTTGATAATAACAATTCTTAGCTACATGTTATAGGGAGGAGAAAGGTGAGCGAGATTGGGAGAGAGAGGAGAGAGGCGAGAGAGAGGGCAAAAAGTGGGAGAGAGCTGAATTGTATATGTATATTGGATAGATAAATGTATACTATACATATGTATTTGTATATATGACAAGCGAGATTGAGAGAGAGAGGAGAGAGGCGAGCAAGATTGGGAGAGAGGCGAGCAAGATTGGGAGAGAGGTGAGCGAGATTGGGCAGGGAGCAGAAGAGAGGTGAATTATATATTTATATTGGTTAGATAATTGTATATTATACATATACATTTGTACATATAGCAAGCGAGATTGGGAGAGAGGCGAGCGAGATTGAGAAAGGGAGGAGAGAAGCAAGCGAGAGTGGTCAGAGAGTGGGAGAGAGATGAATTGTATATGATATTGATTAAATAATTGTATATTATACATATGCACTTGTATATTCTAACGAATTATACATATACAAATGTAGCTAGTTATAGAAACTCGAAATCAGTGAACATAATTAATGTAATATTAGTCGTGAGTGGTGATTATAGCAAACTATAACTATGATGAATAATTAAAAAATATAAATTTGCTTAACCGCGTAATTTTTCCAAAAAAAGAATGATCTAATTTTCTTTTTAGTCTATTTTAAAAAAAAATGAGTCTTTTTCTATTTTTTTATAACAGTTTAACTTTAACTTTCTACCTGGCATGTTTAAGGTCACAAAATTAAAATATATTTTGATATATTTGATATAACTTTAATTTAGAACTACAAGATTAAAATATTCTTTTTCTTTTTTAAACTTTGTTCTAAGTCAACTAAATTATCTTTTTTTAAACGGAGAAAGAAATAGCTTTGATCCTTGATTAATGTAAAGAAAATTTTATTTTCATGTGTGTTAATTTGAGGATGAATGTAACTACTATTATTTTTCCGTAGTATAATTGTATCACTTTTAGGAGCCTTTGGTTGAATACTTCATGTTATTAGTAATTATTGTAAAATGTGTCAATGTGTAGTTTTCAAATATGTAAAATCATAATTTTGATTATTATTGTGAGTCAGTTGAAAAAAGAAGACGAATATAAATCTTACATTAAATCATAACACAAGTCGCTAAAGGAAAGTATTTAATACTAATAAAAAAAATATATATATATATATATATATAAATAAAATAATAATTTATTTAATCCAGAAATATTTATTACTAATATAATAAAAATAATAATTTATTTAATCCTAATCCTAATTCCTAATACAAGCATGAAACTTTTGTATCACAACAGATAGTTCCCTTTTATATATATACCTTCATATATTAAATTTAACCTAACCATTTAATTTTCTCAGAAACAGAAAAAGAAAAAAACAGACATAATAATGTCTCAAGATATTCTTCCATTGGTTGTGATTTTGTATTTAGAGATCTCAAATTAATTACTATAGATGATTCTAATCAATTTTTTTCTCTAAAACGATTCCATTACTCTAATATCTCGTGCTCATATGATGGTTACTTTCTTTTAAAGAATCGTAAGGCGTACAAATCTTATCTTTTGTCTAATTCATCCACAAGAGAATATCGAATTCTTGAATGTCTGTATATGAAATATAGAAATGATCCTCCAAACTATTGTGGTATGTGCTATGGTTCTAGAATCGATGACATGGTTATATTAATCTTTAAATCTTTTTACTTTGTTAACTCTTTTATCTAAACATTCTTGGACAAGGACTGATACATACTGCTATGGTATATTTTGTTCTATGAACAATATAATTGGTTAACGTGTTGATACAACAGTACTTTGACGTGATTTCAGATAAAGTAAAAAAAATTTTAGTATCAAATTTTATAGAGATGAAGTAAAAAAAAAATTCAATATCAAATTTCATAGGCGAGGAAGACTACTTTCATTTGATTACTTTGTCTTAGTTTATATGGTGGAAAACGTAAAGAATTGCAAGTATGGATTATGGAACAAGATGGCTGAAAATGGTTATGGAACATTTGCAACTTGCCTATTCATTGCCTTCTGTTTGTTCAACGAACGGAAAAAATGGTGAAATTCTCATTCGAGAGTGTATGAACATCGTTAGCATGTATTATCCTCAACAACAACAATTTGTTACAGATTTCTTAGCTTCAATATGTTCGGATACTTGTATTTTTTAAATATACTGTCACAAATTTAGAATCTTACTCCGTGAGACACTTGACAACTTACTCACGAATCTTTCACGATCTTGTAAGCTCAAGCAAAATCGCTAATAAATAAAAGGTATGCTAAGATCGATAATATTGCTTGGAAGATTGCTTACAAGTTGTTGGATTGATTGTTTCAAGCTTGGATGTCTTGCAAATGAATGACATCCTCTATTTATACTACCTCCTAAGGACCTAAGTATAAATATTATTTACTTTTCTAGACCCTCCTTATTTACACTCTGATCCCTCTCTAGAAAAGTCTATGTTGTGCGGAATTTGAGATAATACGAGAAAATATAAACGCGAAAAACAAGACAACAGATTTACGTGGTTCACCAATAAATTGGCTACGTCCACGGGAAGAGAGGGAGCAGTTTTATTATGGAGAGGCAAAAACAGAATTACAGAATAGGGTTTGACATAGCGTCTATATATAGTGCTAAGCTACGCCCTAAAAGGCTTGGGCCCAACATACAGAATCAACAGAAAATTAAGGGCCCAATACAACAACATTGTATACCGTCGGGCCGGGGGCGTCTCCGCCCCCCCGAACCCCCAGGCCAGGGGGCGCGTCACCCCCCTGGACCTAACGACCGGTCAGCGAGACCCCCGTCCTTTCTGTTTGTAGCGGGTCCGATTCAAGGCATTCAACAGTCTACATATTCTATAAATTTCTAAATATTTCCAAGAAAATATTTAAGTTATTCTAGAAAATTCTAAGGAATTCTCAAGCCTTCTTGATCTTTTAGGAGATTCTAGAGTTCTCCGCAAACCTCTCCACAACTCTAGACCCTTCTGTCCTCACTCGAACGTAAAATTTAATTATCATGTGGCGGGACGCGACAATACAGGAATTAAACAATCATACATGAACAGATCCTCTGGTTACTTCTTATTTTTCATTCTTATTTTGTATTTTAATACTTATTTTTCTTTCTCATTTTGTATTCAAATGAATGAGTTTTGATTTTTCTCTATTTAAATATCGAGTTTTGATTTTTCTCTATTTAAATACCATAAATTATTAGTAGTCTTTGATATGCTTAATACCATATGATTTAGAAGCAATCCATCTTTGATCTTATTCTTTTGTAACTTTTCGTAGTATATATTTGCATGGTACAGATCGAGATGATATCATTTTCAATGTTTTCTTGTTTTTTAAATAAAATCTCCCTTGAGCTGGCGAGTATTATCAAATACAAAATAGAACACGTGAAGAAAGGGGAGGTAAAACCAAATAATCTCCTTGTTATTACTAACAAGTTGGGAATTGGTAAAGTTAGGTGAGTGTCACATCTATAACGACATAAAACTAGCGTTTGATCATAGATTTTTAAATATTATTAGTAAATATTATTTATGTGAAAATTTGGGTGAAATTTTACCATGTGTTTGGCCATAGTATTAGAAAAATATATTTCACTTTTTTAGAAAAATATAATTTATATCCATAAGTCTTAAAAGTATCAAAACTAACCATAAGTTTGTATTACAAGTCAATTAGATCTTTGTTACAACAACAAATAGTGTCCATGACACTAGAGCAATGTGATAATTTTGAGTGAGTGCAACAAGCATCATTTCATACATAGTGAAGTAGACAAAATACTTGACTTTGTTATCTTGAGCCGATTATTCATCATTTTCATCAATAATTATATTATCATTTCACATTCACCGAATATTTCATCACTATTTTGGAATTAATGTAAAAAAATTATGTAATACAACGTAAGCAACAATTATAAAGGGTACTTTATAAAAGATAAAAGTTTGGGGTAAACTTTCAATTTTTAAAAGATCCAAATAATGAGATTTGACTCAAATACGAAAAAAAATTAGTATTTAAAAGTTTGAGATATTTATCAAAAATATTTATCAAATAATAACAATGTGTATGAACAAACACTTTTACAAAAAAAAATTCAAATATTATTTAAGAAATCTATGGCCAAAAGAGCAATGAAGCTAATAGAGAAAATGAGTAGATGATAATATTGTCTTTCTAAAAATTCAAATATACAAAGTGAATTAATTTGACAACTATATATTTACAATAGGATAAAGATCATATTGGCCTTTCTTAGATTAATTAAAAAAAAAAAAAGACATATTACATATATTGGATTTCAAATTTGACTTCAAATTTTAACTTTAACCTCCAACTTTTATAGTGTACAAACATGCACTTTAACTATCCTACTTTTAAATAAATAAACACATCACTTTTGGAGCCAAAGAGAATGAAATGCAAATGCTCCCACGTATATTAGTAAGTCAAT